TTCGTCTTTTGCGGGATGACGAGCCGTTCAAAAGCCACAGCCTCATCCAGCATCAAAGCCTGTTGACAGGGCAACATCTGCTGATCAATCGTGTTGTAGAAGTGGGCGATCTGCTTCAGCGTCACCCCGAAACGGTAGAATCTGAAAGTTCTCGTGGTAGAAAATCTCAATTTTTACCTTTCCCCGTTAGCGGCACAATTCAGAATCTTTGAGGCGATGGGGAGGCCAAGAGAGGCTAACTGCCGCACTTCACGAAGCAGTGCAATCAATCGGTCCGAATAGTTGACGTTCAGAAGGCCGCCCTTTGACTTTTCCATCACCATCACTTGGCCCTTCGTCTCTAGAGCTATCGAGTTTCCGCCGGCCTCGATCAGCTGCAGCGTCTCTCGAGTCCTAAAATCATTAATTATTTTGTAAATTTTCAACTTTAAAAGACCATTGCTCAAAAGTTCCGTTTCGGCGGCGCGGAGCCGTTCAACGAGTCGATCGAGTTTGGCCTGCAGATTCTCGGCCCCGTTCAAATCCGAAAGTAACGTCCGGCAGGCCAATGACGTCGAGTCGATCTGAAAATGGTTCTAGTTCATTAGCGGGGGGGGGAGAAATCACCGAATTTTAGCAATTTCCGATTGCTAAAAAGGTATCAAAACATTTTTAAAGTTCAAAAATCCTGAAATTTTATTATTTTCTAAAAATTCTGACCAAAATTCCACCCCCGCTAACGCGTAAGCTCCTTGAAAAATCATTTTCTGTTCGATGCTTCAATTTTACCTGTGCAGACTTTTCGCGCATCCACACCACGCGAGATGCCACTTCACAGAGATATCTAAAAAATGGCTTATTAGGTTCTTTCGCATTATCGGGGGGGGGGGGTATCAGGGGGGTTATTGTGTTTACTATTTTTGAACGCAAAAACATTACAAATTTTTATTACAAAATACAAAAATATCGTTTTTCGACTAAAATTTCCAATTTTTGATTTTTAATAAAATTTACACAAAAATTTAATTTAGATATTAGATATTTTCCACTAAAATTTACTTAAATTTTACTTTAAAACCACATTAAAATACTTGCTATCAAGTTAATTGGTTTTCTAGATTTATAAAAATCCACCCCCGATAATGAAGAAGCACCGTGGTTACTAAAAAAGTATTTCTAACCTTCCCGGCGTTCCAGCCGATCCTAATTTCTCCTCAATCTCGCTCTCCGTCGTCGAAAGTGAATTGATAATGCGTGACATCAACGTTTCTCGTTCTGCCAGCATTCTGTCCCTAACCCTTGGCCGTGCCAGGAAATTCCTGTACTGCTCGAGCCCGGCGGCCAGGGCGCTGCTGTCAAAATTGGCGGGCGCCAGCCTGGTTTTGAGCATGGGAATTGTTTGCTCGATCACCGGGTCCAATTGTTTTTCGGCGGCCTAAAGGAGCTACAAAAAATGGGCTATTTTCACCTGAACTCGCTGTTTCCATGTTGCCTCGGTGTAGGGGCTGTAGGCCAGCGGGCTTGTGCCTTGCATAGCTTTCTCGATTTGTTCTGGAAGGGATTTTCAGTTCTGGTGCGTTAGCGGGGGTCTATCAGTGTATAATAACCCACATTTTCTGTTCATTCTAACGTCTATTATAATAAAAAGACACTATTTCTATAGTTTTAGCACTTTTCCAACTATTCAAAAGCCATAAAAAGATTTCAAAAAAATTGTATTACCTTTTTATTAAAAGATCAAATGTAAATTATTTTAAAAGTTTTTATTTAGTATTTACCTAACCCAGCCATTATAAAAACATTTATATTTTTATAGAGGCATATCTATAAAATTCAAATTTTTGGCATAGAGATAAAAAGCCTCAAAAACCAAACATTCTTGACGAAAAAAACGGGGTTTTTTGAAAATTTACTAATTTTTCCATTTAAAAAGCCCCCCACCCCAAATCCTATTAAAGAGTTTATGTTTCATTATTCTGCGCCTACGGTAAGATTATACAAAAATGTCCTTTCCCTCTCCCCCGTCAATGAACTAGAACCGATTCTAGAACTTCACTGTCCCCTTCATTTTTGAGGCGATTTTCAAACGTTTAAAGCTTATTTTAAAAGCCCCACCTTCCAACCCGGAAACCATATTTTGATCGTTGAGCAGCGTACCGAGCTGACCGGGTAGCGTGCGAAGGGAGAGCACCTAATTTCCGGGCTAACAAATGAGGAATTACCGTACCTCCTCCAATCGTTTCGAAAATCCTTCTAAATAGGGCATTTTTAGCTCGCCGCCCTTCCAATTCCCGTCAACGCCGCGCACCCAGCTATGCGTCGTGTTTAGCCTGAAATTTACCAATTTTCCGAGATTTTCGATATTTTCTAGACAGAGACGGACATAAGCGTTGAAAATCGGGATTCGAAAGGTAATTTTCGACACTTTGCCGGCATTTCCGCTATTTGTCGATATTTCTAATAGATCATTCGATAGAGCATCGAAAAATATACTAAGAATTTGAATTATAGCTCAAATTAGTGTATTATAAAAAGCGAGATTCCGACATTTCGAAGCGATTCGATAGAGCATCGCAAGATCTACTGGAAGTTTTAATTTTTATACGAAATTTCTGCTCCTTTTCGCTTATTATACAAATTTATACTTCTAAAAACGTACTTTATGGCGTCGAGCCACTGTTCACAAGCCTGCGAGGCAGCACTCAATTGCTCTGGCGCCGCTTCATCTGTCCATACTTTGGAATCGACGCGGCTCGATATTGTCTCGATTAAAAAATCCGCTAAACTAAATATGATTAAATATTAATTTTAAGCCCAAACCGCAAGAATGGATCAATCTTGTCATCCGTGTCTCCCCGTAATCCGTATTTCTCCAGAGGTTATCGACACAATCCTCCATCGCCTCGGTAAGTCCGGAGATTTCTTCGAGGCTACGGCTCTGAAGTAATGTAGTTAACCGTAATACTAAAAAAATATAAGATTTCATATTAACTACCTGCATAGCGTCTATGGCTTCTTTGAGCGGCTGAAAAGCATCACGCAAAGGTTCATCGCGCTGCCCGCTCCTTCCCATGATGGCTTTCACCTCGTCTTTCAGCGATCCAGCTCCAGCTAGAAGCAACTATTTCGTTAGAATCAAGATTTTCCATTATAAGGAAGTGTTTCTACAGGTTTTTACGATTCCCAAATCAACAAACCCTACAAATTTTGATGATAACATATAAAAAAAAACCGGTATTTCTGCCAACACTCCAAATTCCACTTTTTAAAAGTTTTTAAATGGTTTTTTACTTCAAATCTGGTTAAATTTTACTAAAACCGCTATTAAAACACTTGCGATTAGGTTTTTAGGCATTTCTGGGCTTTTAAAAAGACTTCGCCCATCTCCGATAATGTGAAGGAACCAGGAATGATTCAATCCCTCGAAAAGCCCGCAAAAACCAACATCTAGGCGTTATCGTGCCGTTCGTCTCGACGGTAGCCATCAACGAGTCTTCAAGTTGTGAGACGGCTGCTTCAACTTGTCGAGCCCCGCCCTTCGCCTTCACGCTTTCCGCCGCGTTTTTGCCGAATACCTTCAATCAAAAGATGTGCAAATTTAGTTTTTTTCAGAAAATTTGTTTCACTTTACCTGCTGTACAGAGCTGAGGAACACCTGATTTGCTGGCCCGTTGACCGTCACAATGTTGACAATCTGGAATTTCAATGAGTAAAGGTAAGTTAAAGCACGACTCAAAGCTAAAGCTAACCTGCTTGAAGTTATCGGCCGGCAGCGGGCCCGGCTTGTTTTTGTAGAAGACGACGCGGCCCTGTGCTGGCGCACTAACATCCTTCGACGCGTTCGACATGTCGACGCCTTTCTGTAATTCAAAATTTTGCAATAAAAACGAAAAAAGAAACCTGATCATTTCGAGCGATGGTGAGGAGGGTGTCGCGACCATCGCAAAACGCATCGAGGGCGCTGGTAGAGCGGAGTTTCTCTTCGACAATGTTTAGGGCAAGGATGTGTGATGCTACCCTGCAAAACCCTAGTTAAAGGGATGGTGACACAAAGGTTTTGGACACTTTTGCGCCAAATTGGGCCTCAGAATTGAGGTAAAAACGTAGAACGGGCCATTCATTATCTCAAAACCTATTAAGCGTCCCAAAATATCGGAAAACCGCTCACCGCAACAAATAAGTTCTTCTCGGATCGCCTTTTTCTTCATCCTTTGCGCGGGACATCAAAAGTTCTCAAAAGGCCAAGACCACCGATCACCCGTAATACAATAGCCGGCTCCAAACGTAAGTTTTACAAGTCTGTAATGATTGTTGGGTCAGATCGGTGCCAATTAGTCGTGCCAGCTGCCGATGTGTATGTATGCGCGGCTCCCTAGCAACCATGGCGCCACCAATCTGGGGTCGGCGCGCGGCTTCTCGGGTTAGCCACGGTTCTTGCCTTGCCTCTTTTTAGCTGTATATTTTGTTCGAGTCCACAGTCAATACTTTATTTCGTAAAATCTCGGGTATCGAGCGCGTAGCAGTCTTACTATCGAGTGTCAGCCTAAATTATGCCTATCGTTCACTAGAAACAGGTACTCGTCGCACGTATCGCCGACGAAAATTGGGGGTAGACATAAGAGATTGACACTACGTGTGGTCGGAGGTGTTGTGCAGTAGAGCATAATTTTTTGGGCATCAATAGAGAGAGCAACAAAGCGAGAAAGATATTATTGGACGAAGGCAATGGTGAAGGGTAGAGTACAATGATACAAAGAGCAAACGAGTAGTATAAAATTCTAGCACGAACGGGGGAGCGATACAGAAAAAAACAGAATGAAGTAGAATCGATGGGATACGGATATGGCCACATCGTTGGATTACAGTCTATCATCCTAAAATAAAGCGACTAAAGTGGGAATACCCATCAAGAGACTAATGGATTCGACGAAGGGGCATAAAGAAGACAGTTACCGGGACTATTTGACATAGATGCAATAACATTAAAGCCTTCTTTCTGCCGATTCTTCAGGAAGTGTTTATTCGAGGTCCCGGACGCGGGCGCAGATGTCGCGAGTGAAGGAAGTGCAAGTTCCAGTACCACCGAGATCGCCGGTCTTGTGAGAACCTGAAAATGCAATTTAGAAGCGCTGCAAAAAAGCCTATCAAAAACCCCAAATCTAGAGCATGGCTATGTCTAGAGATTCTTCGAGGCCACGCGACAATTTTCATCGCCATTTTGGACAGCATAACCGTTTCCAAAATTTTAATTGGAAAGAAAATGAACAATCGTGCTGGAATATCAGCCAATTGTAGATTTTCTCGCCGATTACTGCGTTAAAAAAAGACGAGTGAGACCGGGCAAAATAGGAATGATGTTTGATATTTTAGGGTAATAGACCGAAACACCTACCGTCAGCAATAGCGTCAAAGCAAGCCTTCTCGATGCGGTCGGCAAATCGGTTGAGCTCCATGTAGCGCAACATCATGACCGAAGACAAGAGGAGGGCAGTAGGGTTGGCCTTGTCCTGGTTGGCGATATCCGGGGCGGTTCCGTGAACGGATCTGAAGAAAATTTATCGATCAGTAACGAAGATTGCCATACTTTAACCCAGTTGGCTCTATTAGGCTAGAGGAGAAACCTCGTTATCAAAAACTTACTCGAATACGGCGGCTCCTTCACCAATGTTTCCGGATGGGGTGACACCAAGACCGCCGATCAGACCAGCGCACAAATCGGACAAGATGTCTCCGTACAAGTTGGGCATCACCAAGACGTCGTACTGACTGGGATCTTGGACCATGTTCAGGCAAACAGTGTCCAAGTAGGCTTCCTAAAAAATACAAATAATACAAGCGAAAAATTGTTCCAAAAATTTCTGGAAAGAAAGAATCGTAGGAACACAGCAGCCGAACTCATAGCAAAACCCTACCTTGAACTTAATCTCGGGGTAGTTGTTGGCCTGTTCGCGGCACATGTTGAGGAACAACCCGTCCGACATTCGCATAATGTTGGCCTTGTGGACGGCGGTAACGAGCTTGCGCCCGTTCTGCTTCGCGTACTCGAATGCGTATTTAGCTACTCGGCGCGAGGCGTCTTCGGTGATCAACTTGATCGACTGCACAACACCGCTGCAAACCTAAAGCAAAGAATAACGAACCCGACCCGGGAAAAATACCTCGTGCTCAATGCCGGAATACTCGCCCTCAGTGTTCTCACGAATCGTGACCACATCGACGTTATCGTAGAGGGTCTTGTGTCCCTGGAGGGAACGGCAAGGACGAACGTTTGCGTACAGGTTGAATTCCCTGAAATAAAAATCTAGGAAGGCGATAGATAGCTCACTTTCGCACAGCAAGATTGAGCGAACGATGTCCTTTTCCGATGGGAGTCTCGAGAGGGCCCTTCAGTCCGACCTGAATTGACTTTATATAAAAACTACATAACTGACAAACCTTGGTCTCGTGCATCAGGTCAATGCATCGCTGCGGGATGCGGAAGATGCCGTCGCGACCACGAACCGGGGTCACGTCGACGGGGTCCCAAGAGATCGGCACTTTAGCTGCCTGAAGAAAAAGAAAGCATAAACAATAAAGTTGCCTGAATACCTCGAAAATTTCCTGGACGGCCTTGGAGATTTCGGGGCCGATACCATCGCCAGGGATGAGGGTAACCTAAAAAGCAGCTTTAAACCTAGAATTTATTTATACCCGTCGAGTGGCCTCGTTGGAAAGCTGGCGACCAATCGAGATCGTCTGGCGGGCGCTTCGGCTCAGCATAATTGCCTAGAAAAAAGAGGTATGAACGTCCGATGCTTTGAAAACAATTAAAGAATGGAACGAACGATCATTTAAAAGGTAATAAAAAATTTCTATGATGCCTAACATGCTAAGGATAGTCAGAAAACCATCAGAGATCGGCGGTCGACGGCGGGAAGTCAAAAGCAAAAGCTTAGGATAATGTTTAGAGGCTGTTTTAATGGGCGCGCGCTTCCCCGGCCGGAACTGGCCGATCAGATGGGTGATTGATAAGGAAGAACATAGGAGGGGCTGGGGATCAAGAGCGGGGGTTCTCTTCGCGGACAAGGGACACTAATCGACGACGGGCGGTGCTAACGCCCCAATGGGCTGAAACGGAGCTTGTAGTCTCTTGTGCGGCTGTCACGTCAAAAAGCGGCCACCTTTTTGCAAGTTTCCAGCGGGGAATTCGCAGTTTCGATTCTGAAAAGCGGCTATGCAATGTAAAATTAACGGGATACGTCTTTGAAAAGAAATTTTGACTGGAAATGTTTATTTTTGCAAAACTGATTACTGGCGCAACAAAGCGCTCCAATTTACGCTAACCGTAATGTGGAATATTGCGTCCATAGAGATCATGTACGTAAAATGTCACATTACGGATCGATTGTCCATTGGAGTGCTTCGTTGTTTTAATAGCCCTTTTTACTCAAGAATTCTCTTTTTTTTGCTTTTTTCCTAATGATGGGCACGTCGAATTCATTGCCAGACCTAGAAGCGGCTCGACGCGGGATGGACGAACAGCAACTCGAGTTGCAAATGCGGAGCCGGGTCGGGCGCACGGCTTCGACCGACATTGAGAAGAAAGCGCCTTCCTATCGCGATAAGGTTTGTCATTTCGAAATTTAAAAAATCCGATAACCTAGGTATTAATCGAGAAGAAGGTCAAGCCGGGCGACACCCTCAATAAAATAGCCCTCCAATATTCAGTGGCGGTGGGTTCTATTTAATCCAGAAAGAAAATAGCTTTTTAGGTGTCCGACTTGAAACGAGCCAACAACCTGGTGAATGATCAGGATTTTGTGGCACGAAGTGTGATCAAGATACCCGTCAGCCGGCTGCGGCACGAGATGGGCTATGGCGTTGACGGTAAGTAGAAGTTACCACTAGTTATCTATCTACGAATTCCAGGCACAGAAGAAGACGCAGAGAACGAAGACGACAGAGCGCCATTAATAGCCGGTTCACGAGAATCTCGCGATGCTTCTGTTGAAGAGATCTTTCACAAGACCGACAATAATATTGCGCAGGTGCGAGAGACCCTGCCAGAAGATAGTGAGTCCATTAACCTTTATATAAATTTATGTCACTTCCTTTCGGCTTGATCTCGATAAAAAGTGTTTAGTTATAGGAATTCCTGGGTCATATTTTGTCGACGCTCGGTCGCCCGAAACCGGCTGGTCGATTTGGTTGCTTCTCGCGGCCGTCGTGATTGTCTTCATCATTATCCCGCTCGTGCTCACCATCTACGAGGAGGAAACAAATGTCGAAAACACTGCCCACATCAGCCAGGCCGTCGGACAAAATAAATAAGCCAATTCGCCTCTAGTCCCCTTTGTTGTCAAATAATTTTTAGAAGCGTTCCTCTCCCCCATTTTTACTAAACCTCGGTTTTCTATGTGCATTTGTGATTCGTCTACGTGTTTCTATCCCGTCTTGTTGTGATCATAAAATACGTGTCTCCATTCTATGCACTCAGTGTCTTTCATATCATTACCACCAATAATTGACGTTGAACTTTCTGGTTCATCAAGCTCATTGTGATCATATCGCATAATTGTCCCCATGGTTAGTTTCGGGACGCTAGACGTTGCTCGTGTATAAAAATTTTATTGAAATTGGTGGCTAAAATTGGTGCACATAAAACGACGGTGAAGACTGAAAACCACGAGTAACAATAACAAAGCACAGCGGAGTGACGTTTAGGGTTGGCAACGGCCAATGAACCGAGGGTACAGGCAAACGTCTCTGATGTGATGAGTGTTGGTCAGCCAGCAGATGAAGCGTTCCAACCCGAGACCGTATCCTCCGTGCGGTACACCACCGTATTTGCGTTGGTCAACGTACCTATACTTTTGGTTAGAAACGTCGCGATAAGCTTACCAATAATAGGGCTTTCCGTCGATTCCGGCTTTTGTAAGAGCGGTCTGAATCTCGTCGGCCTTCCAGATCCTCATAGATCCTCCGACAATCTCGCCGACTCCCGGCATCAAAAGATCCACCGACTCGGTCAGCTCGTTGTCTTCGGCACAGCGCGCCATGTAGAACGACTTGATACCGGCCGGGAATTTGTTCAGCATAATCGGCTAAAATTCACTGCAACAGATTAAGATATTGCGATACCACTCCAATTGTGTCTGTCATATGACGTTCAGGCGCCTCGGGGATGTCTTCGCCAAATTTGAAATCCTCGCCCGTTTCTTCGTTTTTCACACCGTGCTCGTTCAGCCACTTGATCGCGTCGCCATAGGCCATGCGCTTGAAGGGGCGCTGGGGCGGCACGAATTCCTAAAAGCTTTCTTTACGTTGTTTTGAAAGATATATACCGGGTGAACGTGCTGGATCAACGCCTTGGTCGTCTCATCGTTCCAGAGCCTGTCAACAGTGTCACAGACAAGTGCCTCCACCTTGTCCATCAGCTCTTCAAAAGTCACAAATGCAACCTAAAAGCAGGATAAGGAATGCGGAAGCTAAGTAACCTCAGCTTCAACATGGTTATATTCGCTAAGATGGCGACGCGTCCTCGACTTTTCCGCTCTAAAATAAAGACAATGAGGGTTGACTAATATGAATTACCTGTAAGAGCGAGCGATGCAGTAGACGTCACCGAGGGCTGCGTTGCAAGTCTCGAGGTAAAGTTGCGAAGACTGGGTCAGGTAGGAGTCGTCGCCGAAATAGTTGAGAGCAAAAAGCGTCGATCCACCTTCCACCTAAACCTGGAAGTCTGACAAAATGTTTTGATTGAACCTGGGTCTGGACCAAAGTTGGAGGGGACACCTCGGTGTAGCCGTGATGATAAAAGTGCTCGCGCATAGCCCTCGTAACAGCTGCTCCGATGCGCAAAACTCGCGACGTCTTCTCTCCGCGAAGCACGAGGTGCCTGAAAAGGCATAATTTGCAAAACTAAAAGCTGCTTGCCTGTTATCAAGAAGGGTGTCGACTCCAGCCTGCTCATTGAGCACGTTGTCGATGCCACCTGGAGGAGCGGCGGAAATCAGCGTCCAATAATCGACAACCAGTTCGTGGCCATCGGGTGCCGTCTTGCCCTCCGGAAGCTTGTTGATCGTGCCGAAAACCTGTAATGCTTGATAACGAAAATCCAACGATATCAAAACTGAATTTCACCGAAAACTTATTCCTGCAGTCCAAACACACCTGAATCGACGATTCGGTGGTCAATGTAACGGCATCGTAGCTTTGGCAAAGCTTATCGGTCAAGACGCATTGAATAAATCCAGATCCGTCGCGCAGAACAACGAAGGCCATCGCCTTCCCTAAGAAATATTTAGGTAAATCCATGCATTAGTTGTACCTTGCCGTCTCAAACGGTGGACCCATCCCTTGATGGAGACACGCGTATCACGGTTGGTGACAGAATCACGAATGCGAATGATCTTGGCTTTTGGAAGACTGGGATCCTCGCTGAACGTAATCTAAGCAAAAACTATAAATCCTCGCGATTTCCCACCTTCTTCGCCTCTTCGATGGCCTTATCGTGTGCCTCCGCCTCCTTGGCATGGCGTTCAGCCTCTTTCTCCAGCTTCTTCTTTTCAGCCTCAAACCTAAGTGAATACAAAATAGCTAAAAAGAAAGGAACATACTTTTTGACGTTTTTCTTTTTAGCGCTTTGCGCCGGCGGAACCCATTCAATGGCACCGTTTTCCTGCTTGACGCGAACCCGGAAGTCACCGTCTGCCGAACCCGCCAAGATCATTGCCTATTCGAAAGCTTAGAAATAGCTGAAAGTTGATCACCTGGAAAAGGTTGGCGACCGGCGTGGCTTCACTTGTGCCGTCCTTGGCATCATCGCCAATTTCGGAGCAAACGTAGTAGGTTTGAGCCATCTTAAGATTTGTTGATTAGTCTTCCGGGAGAAGAAAATGCAAGAGAGCCAAGAATGTGAGAGAGTTCAAGTATTCTAGTTTATAACAGAAGCTGCCAGCTCACAAAAGGCGAGATTGTGCAAACTGTTCCCTGGCCGTCCGTCAAGCTGACGCAACCAGGGTGGGAAATAGCGGGCTCGAATGAGAGGCACAGCGCTTTTGCAGGACCCATGGATTTTAGAACCAGCCGTGAAATAGAAATAAGATAGGTAGCTCAATACCGTGTATGTAGTCAAATAGTACGATAAAACGTCCAAATTTAATCTTTATTACTTCAGAATGAAATTCGAACAAAAATGGAGAAATATTGAAACAGCGATGTATGGAATGAGGGGTCAACAAAACAACGGTGGATAACAAATAATTACCGGCTGGTTTAATGTGAAGGAGATCGGGGGAAGGGTTCTATAGATCGGTGATGGAAAGTTGATCCACGGACCAGTCTTCAAAAGAACCGTCGGGGAGGTATCGACGAACAATGATTGGCACCTTCCGGGCCTTCAGCTCCTTTCTGGCGATTTCCAACGGATCCGTCTCGCTTTCGATCTCCACCATGACCGGAGCGCCCATGGCAATCTAGAAAAAAATTGTGTTTCTGAAGAAAATCAGTTAACAGTTCATACCTGCAGCGCCCGAGTGCCCAAAATCCTTGCTCTTTCGTATTTGGTCATAAAAGGTGTTGTGACACGATCCGTTGAGGCAATTCCTTTGTCCGCCTTTGAAAAAGTAAACGTAAAAACGATAGGCACACCTCGAGCAGTTCTATGTTCTCTCCATCAGCATCTTCGTTTTCTTGCTCAATCTCGGCAATATCATCCATGGGCTCATCATCGGCAAAATCATCTCCTGAAAAAGAGATAGATTAAACAAATAAGGCCCAGATTAATTAAATTCAACAAACCTGCATAATCCTCATCATCAGCCATTTTGGTGTGTGTACTCTACAAGAAACCAATAATATATCATAAAAAACGAGGCTTCGATACGGACCGCAGTCTCAGAACCGCTGTGAGCTCTGATAAGAATGGGCTAAAAAGCTTTATTCGGAATGACAATTTCAGAACAACAAAAGTACAACAAATCAACAACCGTGCAATCGAAGCACTCAACAAAGATGGTAAAAATGTAACATTATTCTTCGTCCACGATAGAATCGTGTAGAACATCCTTTTTGTTGAGCGGGCGGATGACTCTGCCGGACTAAAAAAGGGTCACGCACTGTGAAAAGTCGACTAACGTGATACAGAACTGCCGGTTTGACCAGAGCTATGTGTGCGGCGGCAGAGTTCCAGTCACGACCAATGGGCTGGCGAACAGCTGCTTCAAAATCTTCCATGCGACTGTACGGGAACGGCACATCCTTCGGTTGGAATTTTGTGATCGACTGAAACAATCAACTCTACTCATCTTCGAAACGAAAAATACCGATTCAATCTTCTCGGAGATGATGAGGCCAGCCCGGCTTTTATCTTTTCGCTTGACTTCTCGCCCCTTAATGATGAACCTAAAAATCATTAAAGGTTAGGTGAAAGGCCCAAACCGGTTATCCTTCTTCTTTTTGGGAGCGACGCCCGGACCTGTCCACGATCCCCAGCCCGGCAATGATAGATCGATATCCTTTTCTTTTTCAGCTTCTTCCAACTAAAGGAATTTTCAAAAATCCCGGTTGAACATACACCGCCCTTTTCCGTATCAAAATCCCCCATCACATCGTCGTCGGCAAACGCCGCAGAGATAGCCTCGTTTTGAGCTGGAACGAGTTTTCAAGCAATGTGGAAATGACTTACCCTCATCAAAGGCATCCATCCGATCCATAAATTCAGAAGATACCTGATTCAGATTGGCCGTCTCAACCTAGAGAAAAAAATAAGCTATATGCAGTTATTATACCTTCAGAAAATTTTTCGGGTCAAGCATGCCATCTACGGGCTTCTCCTCGGCAGTTCCCTTCTTGCCAGTTTTCTTCTTCTTTAGCGTCGGTGCAGCAAACAGATTTTTCTCCGCTTCATGGATCTGGTCGTGGAGATCTTCCAATTCGATTTCCTAAAAAGAAAATACAATAACCACGAGTTATAATACCTTGATGGCACGCTCATAAATAGATCGTTCGTCGTCATTCAAAGCGTCCTGCGCAGCTGCAATTGCAGTTGAAGCAACAGGCTTCGCTGCTGCGCTTTGCTGCGGATCTTCGCCTTGTCTTTTATTTCTTTTGGGAAACGTGGGCAGCTTGGAGGGTTCTTCAACCGCTTCCCAAGTATCATCGGTTGCAAAGCAGTCCTTCTTTTTGATTTCCTGCCAAAACATAAATGCTACGGAATTTAATTTACTTGTCCGGCACCACGCAGAAGGGACTCCTCAGCTTCCCTTCGTTTCTCCGACCGCAGTTTCGCCAGACCGATCCGAGCTTCAGCGCGCTTCACCTTTTCATTAACCTCATCAGATTGTTTCTCGGCTGCGTCAGCTGCTGCTTCTTCTGCTGATTCCTGGAAAACAATTAACCAATCTTAAGCAATGATTACCTTTATCAACTGCTGAAGGCTTTTAGGGGCTTCTGTATCATCGTCAGCGCCCCGTTGTTCGTCAGAATCGCTATCGGCGCCGTGTTTCGATTTCAGCTCTCTGCCAAGCCTAGGAAACAATAGAGGTCGAACAACTGGATAAAAGCGTACCTCAAATGGTCTTCGAAAAGCTTTAGAGCTTCTTTATTGTGACTGGCATATTTCATCAGCTCCTTGTTAAAAGCATTGTTTTTGCCGTGCTTCAACGTTGCGCGCTCCACCACACGCTGCGTGTCAAGCTCTCGGAGTTTTTCTTTGGCCGCTTCCGGGTCGCGTGATATCAAATCTTCAAACTCTTTGATCAACTGTCGGCGTTTTTGGCGTTTCTGGATGCGATGATATCTAAACATGATCTGTTAATGCATATGCAAAAACGGCATACTTTTTGCTCTTAATTTTTGCTTTACGGGCATCGGCCGCTTGTTTGTAGCTCATTAGAGCACGGGTTTTTCTCATTTGCGCCAGTTTGTGCTTCGCCTAAAAAATTCAAAAGATGACTAATCAATATTTGAAAGACACCTCTTTCACATCCATCGCTTTAATAATCTCTCTTTCGCCCTCGGTCAACTCGACGTCGTTCCCCAGGTGGAATTTGCTTTGTCCGATAGCTTCGGCCATTTCACGCTCCAAATCATTTACAGGGCCCCTGGCATAAAATGCCGCTGCCTGAAATATATCACACATATTAGCGGTCAAAGCAACGAAACCTTGTCCGCAGCCCGCATGGGCTTGATGATCTCGTGATCGTCTTCATGAAAGATAGTTTGATCCGCAACCCTTCTTTCCTCCACAACGGGATTCCAGACGCTCAGTTCCTTCTTTAATTCGACGAACCCGACCGCACCCTATAATAAAACTAATGAAGGTACTAAAAACGCACATGAATTTTATCGCGAGCGATTCGATGCAGAGGCGCTGCTAGAGTGGCCTTTCTCTTCCGTTCCTCTTTATTGTGTTCGATAGTCTTCGTATGCAAGTTTCTCCTAAAAATAGAATCAGCTTCTTGGAGGATGCTCGAACCTTTTCGAGGTGATTGAGTTTAACAAATCTGCAGCCGAAGTTTTCGAAGTCTCCCTTTTGATACGTTTTTTCGGCTTTTCTCCGGCAATGGTCTGAACAAAAGCTGTGTTGAGAAAAACGGCATTACCGCCATGACCATTTCCCTCGTGTCATCATCAAAATCGCTGTCATCTGACATCTGTAAAAATTATATATGACCCGAATTGTCCCAATACCCTTAGAAATACGTCATACAGCTCTAATGATTCGTGTAGGTTGCACTAGTATAGTCGTAGAAAAGTTTATTTCATAATCTGACAAGCAACACTGAATTAGGAACTACACTTCAGGAAACTACCATAAAAACAAGTACATAAGGATGATAATTGCTCTACGAAGAAAAAATTAGTGGCCTCCGCCCACGGCCTTGAGCAGAGCATCAGCAACCTAAACACGACTAATTAGTAAATTGAAGGCTAGTTTACCTCGACGCGGATACCAGCCTCAGCACGGTCCTTCTCGCTTCCCTCGTTCTGAGCGCGTTGGGCCGATTCCAATTCCTGGCGAGCGGCGGCCTCATCGATTTCCTCGAGCTGAAAGCGAAGTAATGAGTGATGCTAGTGCGATACCTTAATCGCTTCTTCAGCCAGCACTTGGCAGGAGCCGTCGATGTTCATGGAGAGGGTTCCGGAAGACACGAAATATTTGCTGACCTGTCCCTCGTTGTCAGTGACCTAAATTGAGGATAAGACACTATCGAAAACAATACCTGAACGACGCCCGGCTTCAGAACCCCGATGGTCGGGACGTGGCTAGCCAAAACACCGACAATTCCGGCGACTGTTGGGACATCGACCTGCTTCACAACCTAGAACGCAAGTAATTAATTAGGAAGCGATGACTAGCATGGCCGACAATGCCAACTCCTACATTCCTTCTAATCTTTCTTCAAAGAGGCCCGAAAATATAAAATAAAAAAATATGTCTTTTTTTTTTTTTGTGTTTTTTTTTAAATAATTCCCTCTCGGCCCCCCCCATCACCCCCAAAAGGGGAGGGGGGGGGGGTTTTTTTAACACAACATTAAATAAAGGAAGGGGGGGGGGGGGCAAAAAAAAAAAAAAAAAAAAAATTAGGGTTTTAATTAAAAAAAAAAAAAAATTTATAAAAAAAAAAAGGCCCCCCAAAGAAAAAAAAAAAAAAAAAAAAAAAAAAAGGGGAAAAAAAAAAAAAAAAAAAAGGGAAAAAAAACAACCACATACTAAAAAAAAAAAAAAAAAAAAAAAAAAAAAAAAAAAAAAAAAGGGAAAAAGGGGACGGGGAGGAAAAAGCACAGGGCGGCCCCCCACACCCTAAGGGCTAAACTACGCTGCCTACGATTACTACAACCAAACCAAAACACCCTCCTCTCATCAATAAGTGCAACAAAATCGCCAAAATAATCTTAAACTCACTGTATTGTTGAAAATCGACTTGTCAGGCGAGGCGAAGGTGAATCGGAGCTGGTCGGTCGAGCTCTGGGCAGGCGCAGCGGCGGCGAGGCCGCGCTTGGTGATCTGGGCTGCTACTCGGAGGCCGCGTGCAAGCATATTACCTGCAAAACGAATTGTATAAAGATCATAGATTTACAAGCAAAACTTTGAAAATTCACAACACGAAAATGGCCGCACGAAGTGGGATCGGGGTTTTGAAGAAAAGGGACAGGGAGGGAGTGGCATTTGGAACGCGACGGAATCGGTGGAAATGGGAGAAAACGAAAAGCTTTAGTGCGGTCGGGTGAATAAGCTAAAACCGTAGGAGCCCATAATAAAAAACATTGATCTTTATGGTTATAATTTAATTACGATAAAGATCAAGTTTATCCGCCCCGGGCTGTATCTCGGCCCTCCTTTATGCTACAGCGCGGTAAATTATGCGAAAATATTTTCCCTGGTCTGTAGAATAAGGATACACATTACATTTTGTCGAAAACGCTGCGGAAGATAAGAAATATAGGTGAAAAAGGCGAAATCTCGCTTGGGTGAGGGGATAGGAAACTCGACTTACGCAGATATAAACACAACAACAATAATATTATTTATTGACAACGCGAGCAGTGGATGGATATACAACGGAATTGGGCGAGTACGAGGGCTGTTTAAATTGGGCACAGGGTTGGCGGCTAGTTGGCAGGAGACGATCCCGGGACGGGCTGCACACGGCCAGCATGCAACGTCTCGGTCGGGATACGGTCGACGAGGCCGGCATTCGGCTTCTGCTGGCTAAATGGCCCATCGCGCAGCTGGACCCGGACACGCACCTGAGAATTTGGGGATCTGAGAATTTTCTAAACATGTTTTTATGACTTTTTACTAGTCAAAAACCACCTGTAAAATTTAATCCAAATTCTTGCCAGGCAGCCCCCCAGCTAAGGGTCCATTGCCGGACGATGCGTTTGAGGCAAGAACACCTACACGAATAAGTCCAGACTGGTCGCTGCCGACGACGGTCATTTGGGACTTGGCTGTCTTCAGTTGTGCCGGCTTCTTCACGGAGGCAGAGCTGGCTGACGAGAGGCTGCTGCTTCCGGTGGTCTTCTGCTTGGCAGCCAGTTTGCCAGAGGCCGACGAAGCGGTCTGCTGGGTGAAAAGAGACTTCTTTGGCGGCATGCGAGTCGTGCTGCGAGGGGCTGAGGTGGCAGAAGCATCTGAAAACGACAAAACTCTGGGTTCCGTCGCGTAGTAGTTGCCTACCGGAACGAGGGGCGCCGCGGGGCGCCGAAGCCGGGGTAGCAGCAGATGGCGGGCGGGAAGCGGAAGCGGGCCGGCTTCCGCTCTTGCTCAGCTTCGGGGTCCGAGTAGCAGGGTTCGAGTCTGGAAGACAGGACGGTTCCTTAGTATCTAAACGCATTTAAATTTGCGTTCAAAATTTAGCTATATCTGAAACCAAAACAATTTATAAAACTAGGCAAGTGTTTGAAAATTGCAAATTTTCGTCGAATTCGACTATTAAGGCCGAAGTATCTACTTTTTACATTTTTTAGTTTGGAATGAAAAGTTAAAAGGTCTTACGTTTAGGCATAGCAAAACGGGTCTAGCAACACTTTTGCTACTTTAGAAAATTGTAGGAGTTTCGCAAAATTCACTCACTCGAACGAAGAGATTGGCGGCCGATGGATTCGGTGTCCGATGTGATGGGATGGGCGGTCGGATGGCCCGACGAGCGCGCATTAGCACTACCGAAGCTACGAGCCGAGCCGGGCGTCTTGGACTTGGGGCCGGAAGCTGAGGTGGGATTGGAGGCAGGGCGAGACCCAGAGCGGCCGATTGGCGTCGCCATCCGGCTGCGGCCCCTAGCCGCAGAAGAGCTCTTCGACGAGCGGCTGGCCGAACGAGAAGCACTCGAAGCGCTCGTCCCACCGTAGGCCGTCTTTACTGAAAATGAGCTGATTTTGGGGATTTTGACACAAAAATTACAAGCGGCGTCGATGTCGATCTCGGAAGTGCGCGGGCGAGAAGCGGATGTTCCACGGCTGGCCGGGGAGACAGAATTCTGGGTGGCCGCCGTCTGCATGGGGGTCGTGGTGATGGCAGAAATGAGGGCCCGCACTTGCTCCGGGGTCATGGTCAGCCTGAAAAGTGGGTTGTTAACGGAGGTGGAAATCGGTTTTGTTTTCCTATGTTGTCGCAGAAGCTCCATGAGAAACTGCGTGTAGATAGTTTGATCGCGGTTTTACAGCGTTTTAAGTGCTGATCTGCTAAACTACATAGCATTTTGAAAAAAAAGCACCTTTCTGTAAAAATGGAATGAAAGTTGTTGAAAATTTTGTTAACATTTCCGGTATAATGTCGCAAACCTGGGAGGCGGAGCACCAGAAGCCCGAGCGGTGGTGGGGGAGAGGAGACGAGCCGTGGTCGGGGTGGGTGAGACACGAGCGACGATCTGCGACGGATTGACGACGGGCTGGCGAGGGGCCGAGCCATCCGTGGAATGAGCCGTGTGCACCGACGGCGAGCGGCCAGTCTGCGTGCTGCCTGGGCCACGGCTAGCCGAACGAAGGCGAGAAGCCGAGATGCCGGTGCGCTGGGACACGGTGCTGCAATTCCAGATTTCGAAAAATTTAGCGAAATCCCTGCCCAGCTCGACGGAAGAGACTGCGGGAGCGGCGGGTCGAGTCGGTGTCCGGCTGGGGCAACGAGCCATCAGCCGGGGCGGGAACCGAGGTCGAGCGAGTCGTCGGGTTTGCGATAGGGCCGCGGCTGGTAGAGCGGAGACGAGAAGCGGAAATGCCGGTGCGCTGGGAGACAACTCTGAAACCGCCAATCTCAAAATAGACAAATAAGCCCAACCCAGCCTGACGGAGAGCGCTGCGGGATGGACGAGCATGGGCGGCGGTACGCTGTGGCGAGGATCCGCCAGCCGAAGTGTCGCTCAGGCGAGGGCTGAAATGAGAAGAAGCCTGGGTAAAAGCGCGAAAAAATACTCAGTAATGCGGCAGGTCGAGGCCGACATGTTGGTGAAGGTGGTGTGCGGCGACTCGTCGCGCTGCGTGTTGGTGACGTTGGCCGTGACGCACATGTCGGTGGCGAACGATTGGGCGGAGATGGCGGGGCCATTGCTGCGAGGGCTCGAGCTGAAAACAGAAAGTTATATTCTTTTAATAAGTTAAGAAATTTATATCTATGCATTACAAGTTCTAAATTCATAACACAAGCTTTAAAGTTATTTAAAACAGCTAGGCGTTTAAAACGATATTTAAAGCTATTTAAAATGATGTTATCGAGTTCAAACAGTACTAAAAAGAGAAAAAACTGACGAAGTAGCGGTCTTCAATTGCTCATCGTCGCTGGCTGGCGGCTGGTTCGGGTCGGCCATCCTTCGATGAGAAGCCGAGACGAGTGGGGCGAGTTAGAAGACTTTACAAAACACTCAAAATGAAACCCGCTAATGTTCAATTTGTATGCTAAACATATTCACCCATAAGGTTGTCATGCAACACGATCGATAGGATTCAAATTCAGCTCTGAAATAGCAACAAAAAAAGGTTCTAGGTTTCTTTCTGAATTGTTCAGTATGATTTTATACTTTACAATATTTATTCAGTTTAGAACTAGCATTTTTTATATTCCCCGTATCCATACTTTAATTTTACGGTATTTTTCTTTATTTTTACATTTAGAAAGCGTTTTCTTCGTATTTTTTGGCTATTAAAAATATGATAAATTTTTTTTTTTTTTTTTAAGAACATGAGAAACTTAGGACCCTCCGGCCCCGTTCATCTCAATTTTTTACGTTTTATACTTTTTCTCCCTCATTCGCACAGCTAGAAGCGTGCATGCCAAATCCTAGCGCCCCGTATTCGAGCTTCCCTCCCTGCTCATCCCCCACTTTCCATATTCGGGGCCGTCACCTCTGTGGCTAGCTGAGAGACAGATGGATGGAAAATTGATGGGCGATGGTGGAGAGCAGAAGAGAATCAGAGAAATAGTAGCGATGGCTAGCTGACAGCCGGGATATCGGCCTTTAGCGGCAACCATCTGTCCCATTTCCCCCCTTGCTACAGTTAGCCCGCCAAAAGCGTGCCGCTGTGAGGCAAGCTTTTTTTGAAAAAGACGTCCTTTGTGATTACTTTCAGATTTTCTTTTATTTAGACGTGACCCAAGGCAAGCTAGCAGCGGCCATTTGCGGATTTGATAGCCAATGGGGCAGTGGAGGTTTTTATGGGCCCTCCGAGATTTGCGTAACGGCGCTCTGGCGTTTTTATAGCGGATCGAGTTGCATTCCGGTGTCATTAGGCGTGTAACGTAGCGACAACTGCTCAATTATTGGAGGAGCGCCAAACTAAAGAGATTTTATCAGCCTAAGAGTTATACTTTACCAAAAAATTATCTTCCTAGCGTTGTTACGTTAAAAGATACATTTTTGATCTTTCCTGATAATAAAATACGGTGTATTTTTATCGTTTGGTAGTTTCAGGTACTACCTAAAAACTTTAAAAATTTGACATTTGGTCGAAAAAGGTCGATTTTTTTCTTTTTTATAGAAATTTTGGAAACTTTCTTTTTGGATACTTTTTTGGAAAATTTTGGAATAGTTTAACAATTTTAATAGGATAGTAAAAACTTCAAAAAATTTCTTTATATTAGCATTTTTTGCAAAAAAAAATCGGATATTAATTATTAAAGAAAAATCGGATATTATTAAATAAAATGGTTTCTTTACTATCCCCCCCGATACTGCAAAAGAACCGCAATGTGAATTGATTTATCTAATAATGGAGTTTAAATTTTTCGCATTTATATAAGCCATTGAAATTATCGAATTAAACAGTTTATCAACTAACTTAATCATTTCGGATTATCGGTAAAGTGGATTTTTTAAATAAACACAAATCAACAAAATTTTTGTTGCTGATCAATGACATTTCCTTCAATTCGGCACTCTGGTAGTTGGGGTGGATTGTCTGGTGGTGGTGCCAGTGTGCGGGGATGGGCCCTCAAATCCGGAGATCCGGATGGGCCACTGGTATCGTCGGGAGGGGTCCTCGACCATTCCCCCTCCATCCAACACCCTCTCTTGTTTTTTGTCTCTTCCCTGGGCCCTCCCCCTACCCACGTCAGCCATCCTAGGCCATCGGCTAATGACCCAAATAGGGCCCGGTCCATTCAAAGCTTCTCTACTGTCTCCAGTCCATCGGGAAGTGTCTAATTTACTGTATTTGACTGCGGTTCCGAGATGATAATTGAGATTGGGTCTCCGAGTCCGACTCCTCCGCTCTCCCCGGAGCCACCCGGGGGTCCGTTGGCTATTCGCGAGAATTTTAACCGGCTCATCAGGTGGGAAATTTGTTATTTTATTGGGTTTCTATACTTTGTAACCTATTACTATTATTTTTGTACTTTTATTAGCATGTTTAAAAGATCAACATTATCAAAATTAAGCTAATGCTGATACCGTAAATTCTAGGATTTTTTTGCATCTTTTATGTATATCTTTCAAATTTTCTACATATCTATCTATCTATCATCTATCTATCGAACTATACCTTTAATTTACAAAAAGTAGCACCTCGAAAATTCCAAGAAATCGGTCAAAACCTTGAGCGCAGTAGGTAGCAATGTCGGAGTAGCGTCGCGTTGTCAAAAATGAAGTACGCAAAGCTACAGCGTACATATGTACCCCTTGTGCACGTTATATATCTTAGGTTCCTTCTTTTTCGCACGCGAATGCGTCTTTAAAGTACCTAAACGGGCTTTGGGGTACTGAGCTCTTAGCGGCGGGTAGGGACTCGATTTTTCCAATCGCTCCCAATAATGAAAAACGCCATTTTTTGAGCTGTTTTACATTATAAAATGGATAAAAACTTGTTGAAATCTACAAAAAAATTTGTTTTTTGGTGAAAATGTTCGAAAGTGTGCAAGAATTCCATATTTTTTGAATTTTGAAAAATTTTTGATGGCGTTTGTGAGCCGAAACTACGAGAAATAGAAAATAAAGAAGAATAATTTTTTTGCTAGATGATTCTGGGCTAAACAGTCCCCCCCGCTAACAGCCCAGTACCGAATTTGGTCGTTCCCGATCGCTTGCCCTTACCAGTCCCTTAGGTCCCACAGGGCCATTACGTGGCCCTGGGAATGGGATTAATGTGTTGGGACACAACCGGGTCCCTTGCCAGCTTCTGACAAAGCCCCGAATCACCGAGTCAACAACGGGGGGCTTCTTCTTCTTCTTTCCCCTCCATTCCTCCTTACAGCTGATCTGACAGCCCTGTCATCAGGCCGTTCGCCCTCTTTGCTAACTACCGCGCATTCCGCGTGCCACCCACCTTCCCTCGGCTAGACTTTATCCGGGCCACTTCAAACTTTAGGAAAACGCCTTAAAATCTTCCTAAAGAAACTCTGCTACCCCACTTTGTCTAAAAAGTCTCTGCTACCTTGCCTTTTCTTAAAAAAGCTCTTCTTTCTTAAAAAAAAAACTGGGTGAGTGTAACTTTTCGTAAAAAAACATGTGTTAGCCTGCTTTTCCCTAAAGAAACTGTTAGCTACCCTTCCCTGGAAAAAACTGCTTGAGTCATTTTCTAAAGAATCTCTGCTAGTCTGCTCTTTCCTGAAAAGTGATTGCTAGCCTGCTTATCCTAACGAACCTCTGCTAGCTTTCCCTTCCTAAAAAACTGGCCCTATCAGCTGTTTTTCTGACCTTGAAGCGCTCTAGCAAGAGCTCTAGGGGGGATTTTTCAGTGTTTTGCGCAATATCCTAGCAGCCAAAAAACCACTAAAAATACGATAAAATTTACCATTTTTATTGCCAGTTAGTCATAGACAGAAAATAGAATAAAGATAATACAAATTAGCTCCTCCCCCCCCCCGCTAAAAGGCAAGTCCCTAGTCTCTAAACCCCGCGAAAAGCTCATTTTTTTTGGCGCGCAGCAGGGTTGTTGACGGTGAAATGTGAATAGTGTCCGGGCGGTGGCATCATCAGAAGCCCCAGGGAAGGGCCGAACCCACTAAACGTCTTCTTTTTGCATCCTTTCAACTTGCCGCCAGGGAGGGGAGAGAAAGAGACTTTGAGCCGATAACACCCTGCAATTGCTCAACCACTGACTCGGTAAGGAAACGCTTTTGCGGAGGGGGTATTGATTTAAAAACTAAGATGTTTGAGGTTTAATACTGAATTTTCTAGCATTTCATTTGGGTTTTTCACGCGTAATTTTGCTTTAAAAACAGTTTTTCTTAAAATTTTCGGACTTTTTTTGCACCTTGCTTCTTCATCTACTTGCTTTTATTGCTGTCTTACTTTCGTATTATTTTTGTTCTTCTTTATTAACGCCTTTTTAATTTTGTGTTTCCACGTGTTGTAATCTTATTTTTTAATCAGTTTTGCCCAATTTTTGGCTTTTTTGGGTTGAAGATAACTTTTGACAAAAAAAATAGGTGTTTTGCAGCTATTTTCATTGCAAATTGAATTTTTCTAGGATGTCCGGAGCTCGTGCTCTCTTCCAGCGCGACGTCACCGCCCTCCTTGAGCATCCGGACGGCGTTCAAGCCTTTCGAGCATGGCTTTCTCTGGTGGGTTTCTGATTTCTTTACGGTTCTAAACGCTACAGGTCACTGGATGCAATCTTTGCCCAAGCTTAAAGAGATAGGGCACAGCGGCCCGGCTCCTAATAAAACGTCCGGGGGTTTTGGGGGGGGGGGGGGCCCGCGGGGGGGGGGGGGGGCGCGCCCCGCCAAAGGGAAGGCGGGCCGGGGCGCCCCAGCCGGCCGTTTCCCCCCCCCCCCCCCCCCCGCCGCCCGGCCCGGCCCGGCCCCCCCCCCCCCCCCCCCCCCCCCGCCCCCCCCGGGGGGGGGGGGGGGGGGGGGGGGGGACGGGGGGGCGGGGGGGGGGGGGGGGGGGGGCCCCCCCCCCCCCCCGGGGCCCCCCCCCCCCGGGGGGGGGGGGGGCGGGGGGCCCCCCCCCCCCCCGGGGGGGGGCGGGGGGGGCCCCCCCCCTCTTCTGCCTTGCCGCTTTTTAGCTGCATATTTTGTCGGAGTCCACAGTCAATACTTTATTTCGTAAAATTTTCAATGGAGGGCGTAGCAGACTTACTATCGAGTGTCAGCTCAAATTATGCCTATCGTTCACTAGAACAGGTACTCTGTCGCACGTATCGCTGACGAAAATTGGGGGTAGATGATAAGAGATTGATACTCACGTGTGGTCGGAGGTGTTGTGCAGTAGAGCATAATTTTTTTGGGCATCAATTAGAGAGCAACAGAGCGAGAAAGATATTATTGGACTTATGCAATGGGGTGTGAAGGGTAGAGTACAATGATACAAAGAGCAAACGAGTAGTGTAAAATTGTAGCACGAACGGGGAGCGGACAGAAAAACAGAATGAAGTAGAACTGATGGGATACGGATAGGGCCCATAATACCTATGGATTACAGTCTATCATCCTAAAATAAAGCGACTAAAGTCGGAATACCCACCAAGAGACTAATGGATTTCCGACGAAGCGGCATAAAGAAGACAGTTACCTGGACCTATTTTGACATAGATGCACAAACATTAAAGCCTTCTTTCTGCCGATTCTTCAGGAAGTGTTTATTCGAGGTCCCGGACGCGGGCGCAGATGTCGGTGAGAGTGAAGGAAGTGCAAGTTCCAGTACCACTGAGATCGCCGGTCTTGTGGAGAACCGAAGCATGCCGATTTATAGGCGCTGCGGAAAAGCCTATCAAAAACCGCAATCCCAGCGCATGGCTATGTCTAGAGATTCTTCGAGGGGCCACGCGACAATTTTCATCGCCATTTTGGCCAGTTATAGCAGTTTCCAAAATTTTAATTGGACGAAAAATGAACAATCACGCTGAAATATCATTCTTTTGTAGATTTTCTCGCCGATTACTGCGTTGGAAAAAGACGAGCGAGACCGGGCAAAATAGGAATGATGTTTGATATCGGCGTGCACAGACCGAACACCTACCGTCAGCAATATGTCGCGCAAGCCTTTTCGATGTTGTCGGTAAATCGGTTGAGCCCAGGTGGGCGCAACATCATGACCGAAGACAAGAGGAGGGTGGTAGGGCTGGCCTTGTCCTGGCTGGCGATATCCGGGGCGGTTCCGTGAACGGATCTGAAGAAAATTTATCGATCAGTAACGAAGATTGCTTCACTTTTTTAACCCAGTTGGCTCTATTAGGCTAGAGGAGAAATCTCGTTAATAAAAAACTTACTCGAATACGGCGGCTCCTTCACCAATGTTTCCTGTAGGCGTGACACCAAGACCGCCGATCAGACCAGCGCACAAATCGGACAAGATGTTCCGGTACGTTGGGCATCACCAAGACAAATGGTATTGATCGGGATCTTGGACCATGTTCAGGCAAACAGTGTCCAAGTAGGCTTCCTAAAATACAAATAATACAAGCGAAAAATTGTTCCAAAAATTTTTTGAAAGAAAGAATCGTAGGAACAGCAGCCGAACTCCATAGCAAAACCCTACCTTGAACTTAACCTGGGGCAGTTGTTGGCCTGTTCGCGGCACATGTTGAGGAACAACCCGTCCGACATTCGCATAATGTTGGCCTTGTGGACGGCGGTAACGAGCTTGCGCCCGTTCTGCTTCTTCGCGTACTGAATGCGTATTTAGCTACTCGGCGCGAGGCGCCTTCGGTGATCAACTTGATCGACTGCACAACACCGCTGAAAACCTAAAGCTAAGGAATAACGAATCTGACTCCGGGAAAAGATCCCTCAAGTTCGAATGCGGGAACATTTCGCCCTCAGTGTCACCTCACGAATCGTGACTCCATCGACGTTATCGTAGAGGGTCTTGTGTCCCTGGAGGGAACGGCAGGGACGAACGTTTGCGTACAGGTTGAATCGCCAGAAAAAAATCTAGGAATGCGATGATAGTTCACTTTCTGTACAGGCAAGATTGAGCGAACGATGCCCTTTTCCGATGGGAGTCTCGAGATCGCCCTTCAGTCCGACCCGGAATTGACTTTATATAAAACTACATAATTGACAAACCTTGGTCTCGTGCATCAGGTCAATGCATCGCTTCAGGATGCGGAAGATGCCGTCGCAACGAAGCAGGAACCGGGGTCACGTCGACGGGGTCCCAAGAGACTGGCACTTTAGCTGCCCGAAGAAGAAGAGAGCATAAACAATCGGGCTGCTCAACAATTCGAAAATTTCCTGGACGGCCTTGGAGATTTCGGGGCCGATGCCCTCACCAGGGATGAGGGTAACCTAAAAAGCCGCTTTAAACCTAGAATCTATTTATACCCGTCGAGTGGCCCCGTTGGAAAGCTGGCGACCAATCGAGATCGTCTGGCGGGCGCTTCGGCTCAGCATAATTGCCTAGAAAGAGGTGGGAAGGGAACATCCCATGCTTTGAAAAAAAATAAAGATGGAACGAACGATCATTTAAAAGGTAATAAAAATTTCTGCGATGCCTAACATGCAAAGCGATAGACAGAAAACCATCAGAGATGGCGGTCGACGGCGGGAAGTCAAAAGCAAAAGTTTAGGATAATGTTTAGAGGCTGGTTTTAATGGGCGCGCGCTTCCTCGGCCGGACCTGGCCGATCAGAGGGGTGGATTGATAAGGAAGAACATAGGGGGCTGGGGATCAAGAGTGGGGGTCCTCTTCGCGGACAAGGGACACTAATCGACGACGGGCGGCGCGACCGCCCCAATGGGCTGAAACGGAGCGTGTAGTTCCTTGTGCGGCTGTCACGTCAAAAAGCGGCCACTCTTTTGCAAGTTTCCAGCGGGGGAATTCGCAGTTTCGATTCTGAAAAGCGCCATGCAATGGAAAATTTATGGGATACGCGCCTGAAAAGAAAATTTTGACTGGAAATGTTTATTTTTGCAAAACCGATACTGAGAAGAACAAAAGCGCTCGGATTTACGCCAACCGTAATGTGGAATATTGCGTCCATAGAGATTTTGGTACGTAAAATGTCACATTACGGATCGATTGTCCATTGGAGTGCTTCGTTGTTCTAATAGCCCTCTTTACTCAAGAATTTTCTCTTTTTTTGTTTTTTTCCTAATGATGGGCACGTCGAATTCATTGCCAGACCTAGAAGCGGCTCGACGCGGGATGGACGAACAGCAACTCGAGTTGCGAATGTTGAGCCGGGTCGGGCGCACGGCTTCGACCGACATTATAGAAGAAAGCGCCTCCCTATCGCGATATAAGGTTTGTCATTTCGAAATTTAAAAATCCTGATAACCTAGGTATTAATCGAGAAGAAGGTCAAAAGCCGGGTGACACCCTCAGTCAAAATAGCCCTCCAATATTCAGTGGCGGTGGGTTCTAGCGAATCCAGAAAGAAAATAGCTCTTTAGGTGTCCGATTCTGAAACGAGCCAACAACCTGGTGAATGATCGTGGTAGAAAGAGAAAGAGCATTTGTGGCGCGAAGTGTGATCAAGATACCCGTCAGCCGGCTGCGGCACGAGATGGGCTATGGCGTTGACGGTAAGTAGAAGCTACCACTAGTTATCTATCTACGAATTCCAGGCACAGAAGAAGACGCAGAGAACGAAGACGACAGAGCGCCATTAATAGCCGGTTCACGAGAATCTCGCGATGTCCCTGTTGAAGAGAGGATTCACAAGACCGACAATAATATTGGGCAGGTGCGAGAGACCCTGCCAGAAGATAGTGAGTCCATTAACCTTTATATAAATTTATGTCACTTCCTTTCGGCTTGATCTCGATAAAAAGTGTTTAGTTATAGGAATTCCTGGGTCATATTTTGTCGACGCTCGGTCGCCCGAAACCGGCTGCTCGATTTGGTTGCTTCTCGCGGCCGTCGTGATTGTTCCTCATCATTATCCCACCAAAGTTCACCATCTACGAGGAGGAAACAAATGTCGAAAAACACTGCTCCACATCAGCTGTACTGTCGGACAAAATAAATAAGCCAATTCGCCTCTAGTCCCCTTTTGTTGTCAAATACTTTGTAGAATTGTTCCTTTCCCCCATTTTTTACTAAACCTCGGTTTTTTATGTGCATTTGTGATTCGTCTACGTGTTTCTATCCCGTCTTGTTGTGATCATAAAATACTGGTCTCCATTCTATGCACTCAGTGTCTTTCATATCATTACCACCAATAATTGACGTTGAACTTTCTGGTTCATCAAGCTTCATTGTGATCATATCGCATAATTGTCCCCATGGTTAGTTTGTGGACGCCAGACGTTGCTCGTGTATAAAAATTTTATTGAAATTGGTGGCTAAAATTGGTGCACATAAAACGACGGTGAAGACCGAAACCACGAGTAACAATAACAAAGCACAGCGGAGTGACGTTTAGGGTTGGCAACGGCCAATGAACCGAGGGTACAGGGCAACGTCTGTGATTTTGATGAGTGTTGGTCAGCCAGCAGATGAAGCGCGTTCCAACCCGAGACCGTATCCTCCAGGCGGTACACCACCGTATTTGCGTTGGTCAACGTACCTATACTTTTGGTTAGAAACGTCGCGATAAGCTTACTAATAATAGGGCTTTCCGTCGATTCCGGCTTTTGTAAGAGCGGTCTGAATCCGTCGGCCTTCCAGATCCTCATAGGATCCTCCGACAATCTTTCCGACTCCCGGCATCAAAAGATCCACCGACTCGGTCAGCTGGTTGTCTTCGGCACAGAGCGCCATAGAACGATTCTGATACCGGCTCTGAATTTGTTCAGCATAATCGGCTAAAATTCACTGCAACAGATTAAGATATTGCGATACCACCACCACCGGTCTCGGTCATATGACGTTCAGGGCGCCTCGGGGATGCTTCGCCACCCTGAAATCCTCGCCCGTTTCTTCGTTTTTTTCACCGTGCTCGTTCAGCCACTTGATCGCGTCGCCATAGGCCATGCGCTTGAATCGGCGCTGGGGCGGCACGAATTCCTAAAAGCTTTCTTTACGTTGTTTTGAAAGATATATACCGGGTGAACGTGCTGGATCAACGCCTTGGTCGTCTCATCGTTCCAGAGCCTGTCAACAGTGTCACAGACAAGTGCCTCCACCTTGTCCATCCGCTCTTCAAAAGTCACAAATGCAACCTAAAAGCAGGATAAGGAATGCGGTAGCTCGGGCACCCCAGCTTCAACATGGTTATATTTGCTAAGATGGCGACGCGTCCTCGACTTTTCCGCTCTAGTGGCCGAGACTGGGAGGGTTGACTAATATGAATTACCTGTAAGATTGAGCGATGCAGTAGACGTCACCGAGGGCTGCGTTGTAAAGTCTCGAGGTAAAGTTGCGAAGACTGGGTCAGGTAGGAGTCGTCGCCGAAATAGTTGAGAGCAAAAAGCGTCGATCCACCTTCCACCTAAACATGGAAGACTGACAAAATGTTTTGATCGAACCTGGGTCTGGACCAAGTGGGATGGGACACCTCGGTGTAGCCGTGATGATGGGGGTGCGCTCGCGCATAGCCCTCGTAACAGCTGCCCCGATGCGCAAAACTCGCGACGTCTTTTCCGCGAAGCACGAGATGCCCGAAAAGGCATAATTTGTTAAACTAAAAGCCGCTTGCCTGTTATCAAGAAGGGTGTCGACTCCAGCCGGCTCTTCATTGAGCACGTTGTCGATGCCACCTGGAGGAGCGGCGGAAATCAGGGTCCAATAATCGACAACCAGCCTGTGGCCATCGTGGGTGTCAGTCTTGCCCCTCCGGAAGCTTGTTGATCGTGCCGAAAAACCTGTAATGCTTCTGATAACGAAAATCCAACGATATCAAAACTGATCTTCACCGAAAACATATTCCTGCAGTCCAAACACAATCTGAATCGACGATTCTGCGGTCAATGTAACGGCATCGTAGCTTCTGGCAAAGCCGATCGGTCAAGACGCATTGAATAAATCCAGATCCGTCGCGCAGAACAACGAAGGCCATCGCCTTCCCTAAGAAATATTTAGGTAAATCCATGCATTAGCTGTACCTTGCCGTCTCAAACGGTGGACCCATCATCCCTCGATGGAGACACGCGTATCACGGTTGGTGACAGAATCAATGAATGCGAATGATCTTGGCGTTTGGAAGACTGGGATCCTCGCTGAACGTAATCTAAGCAAAAACTATAAATCCTCGCGATTTCCCACCTTCTTCGCCTCTTCGATGGCCTTATCGTGTGCCTCCGCCTCCTTGGCATGGCGTTCAGCCTCTTTCTCCAGCTTCTTCTCTTCAGCCTCAAACCTAAGTGATTCAAATTAGCTAAAAAGAAAAGAACATACTTTTTGACGTTTTTCTTTTTAGCGCTTTGCGCCGGCGGAACCCATTCAATGGCACCTGCTTTCCTGCTTGACGCGAACCCGGAAGTCACCGCTCCGCCGAACCCGCCAAGATCATTGCCTATTCGAAAGCTTAGAAATAGCTGAAAGTTGATCACCTGGAAAAGGTTGGCGACCGGCGTGGTTTCACTTCTGTGCCGTCCTTGGCATCATCGCCACCTTCTTGAACAAACGTAGTAGGTTTGAGCCATCTTAATATTTGTTGATTAGTCTTCAGGGAGAAGAAATGCAAAAGACAAGAATGTGAGAGAGTTCAAGTATTCAAGTATATAGACAGAAGCTGCCAGCTCACCAAAGGCGAGATTGTGTGAACTGTCCCTGGTTGTCCGTCAAGCTGACGCAACCAGGGTGGGAAATAGCGCGCTCGAATGAGAGGCACAAAGGCCTCAGCAGGACCCATGGATTTTGTGAACCAGCCGTGAAATAGTTTCAAGATAGGTAGCTCAATGGGGTGTATGTAGTCAAATAGTACGCATAAACTTCCAATTTTAATCTTTATTACTTCAGAACTTCGAACAAAAATGGAGAAATATTGAAACAGCGATGTATGGAATGAGGGGTCAACAAAACAACGGTGGATAACAAATAATACCGGCTGGTTTAATGTGAAGAGATCGGGGAAGGGTTCTATAGATCGGTGATGGAAAGTTGATCCACGGACCAGTCTTCAAAAGAACCGTCGGGGAGGTATCGACGAACAATGATTGGCACCTTCCGGGCCTTCAGCTCCTTTCTGGCGATTTGCAACGGATCCGTCTCGCTTTCGATCTCCACCATGACCGGAGCGCCCATGGCAATCTAGAAAAATTGTGTTCCTGAAGAAAATCAGTTAACAGTTCATACCTGCAGCGCCCGAGTGCCCAAAATCCCTGCTCTTCTGTATTTGGTCATAAAAGGTGTTTGGTGACACGATCCGTTGAGGCATCCCTTTGTCCGCCTTTGAAAAAAGTAACCGTAAAAAACAATAGACACACCTCGAGCAGTTCTATGTTCTCTCCATCAGCATCTTCGTTTTCTTCTTGCTCAATCTCGGCAAGAATATCCATGGGCTCATCATCGGCAAAATCATCTCCTGAAAAAGAGATAGATTAAACAAAATAAGGCCCAGATCAATTAAATCTTAACAAACCTGCATAATCCTCATCATCAGCTTCATTTTGGCGTGTGTACTCTACAAGAAACCAATAATATATCATAAAAACGAGGCTTCGATACGGACCGCAGTCTCAGAACCGCTGTGAGCTCTGATAAGAATGGGCTAAAAGCTTTATTCGAAATGGGGGAAAATTTCAGAACAACAAAAGTACAACAAATCAACAATCGTCGCAATCGAAGCACTTAACAAAGATGGTAAAATGTAACATTATTCTTCGTCCACGATAGCATCTTGAGAACATCCTTTTTGTTGAGCGGGCGGATGACTCTGCCGGACTAAAAAAAGGGTCACGCACTGTTAAAAGTAGACTAACGTGATACAGAACTGCCGGCTTGACCAGAGCTATGTGTGCGGCGGCAAGAGTTCCAGTCACGACCAATGGGCTGGGCGAACAGCTGCTTCAAAATCTTCCATGCGACTGTTCGCGAACGGCACATCCTTCGGTTGGAATTTTGTGATCGACTGAAACAATCAACTCTACTCATCTTCGAAACGAAAAATACCGATTCAATCTTCTCTTGAAATGATGAGGCCAGCCCGGCTTTTATCTTACGCTTGACTTCTCGCCCCTTAATGATGAACCTAAAAATCATAAAAGGTTAGGTGAAAGGCCCAAACCGGTTATCCTTCTTCTTTTTGGGAGCGACGTTCGGACCTGTCCACGATCCCCAGCCCGGCAATGATAGATCGATATCCTTTTCTTTTTCAGCTTCTTCCAATCCAAACCGAATTTTCAAAAATCCCGGTTGAACATACACCGCCCTCTTCCGTATCAAAATCTCTATCACATCGTCGTCGGCAAAAGCCGCCGAGATAGCCTCGTTTTGAGCTGGAACGAGTTTTCAAGCAATGTGAAAATGACTTACCCTCATCAAAGGCATCCATCCGATCCATAAATTCAGAAGATACCTGATTCAGATTAGCCGTCTCAACTCTAGAGAAAAAAATAAGCTTTATATGCAGTTGTTATACCTTCAGAAAATTTTTCGGGGTCAAGCATGCCATCTACGGGCCTCGGCAGTTCCTTCTTGCCAGTTTTCTTCTTCTTTAGCGTCGGTGCAGCAAACAGATTTTTCTCCGCTTCATGGATCTGGTCGTGGAGATCTTCCAATTGGATTTCCTAAAAAGAAAATACAATAACCAATGAGTTATAATGTTCTTGATGGCACGCTCATAAATAGATCGTCTGTCGTCATTCAAAGCGTCCTTCGCGGCTGCAATTGTGAAGTTGAAGCAACAGGCTTCGCTGCCGCGCTTTACTGCGGATTTTCGCCTGTCTTTATTTCTTTTGGGAAACGTGGGCAGCTTGAGGGTTCTTCAACCGCTTCCCCAAGTATCATCGGTTGCAAAGCAGTCCTTCTTTAATTTCCCGCCAAACATAAATGCTACGGAATTTAATTTACTTGTCCGGCACCACGCAGAAGGGACTCCTCTCAGCTTCCCTTCGTTTCTCCGACCGCAGTTTCCACAGACTGTCCCGAGCTTCAGCGCGCTTCACCTTTTCATTAACCTCATCAGATTGTTTCTCGGCGCTGCGTCATTGCCGCTTCTTCTGCTGATTCCTGGAAAACAATTAACCAAAACTTAAGCAATAATTACCTTTATCAACTGCTGAAGGCTTTTAGGGCTTCTGTATCATCGTCAGTGCCCTGTTACCCGTCAGAATCGCTATCAGCGCTGCGCTCTTGATTTCAGCTCTCTGCCAAGCCTAGTTAACAATAGAGGTCGGATAACTGAATAAAAGCATACCTCAAATGGTCTTCGAAAAGCTTTAGAGCTTCTTTATTGTGACTGGGTATATTTCATCAGCTCTTCCTGTTAAAAGCATTGTTTTTGCTGTGCTTCAACGTTGTGCGCTCCACAACACGCCGCGTGTCCGCTTTCCGGAGTTTTTTCTTTGGCCGCTTCCGGGTCGCGTGGATATCAAATCTTCAAATTTTTTGATCAACTGTCGGCGTTGATACTTGACGCGATGGATATCTAAAACATGATCTTTAAATACGTCATATGCAAAAACCGCATACTTTTGCTCTTAATTTTTGGCTTTACGGGCATCGGCCGCTTGTTTGTAGCTCATTAGAGCACGGGTTTTTCTCATTTGCGCGGAGTTTGTGCTTCGCCTAAAAATTCAAAAGATGACTAATCAATACTTGGAAAGACACCTCTTCACATCCATCGCTTTAATAATCTCTCTTTCGCCCTCCGGTCAATCCTCGACGTCGTTCCTCAGGTGGAATTTGCTTTTTGTCCCCGATAGCTTCGGGCCATTTCACGCCCAAATCATTTCCAGGCCCCCTGGCATAAAATATCGCTGCCTGAAATATATTGCACACATACATGGTCAAAGCTAAGAAATCCTGTCCCCAGCCCCGCATGGGCTTGATGATCTCGTGATCGTCTTCATGAAAGATAGTTTGATCCGCAACCCTTCTTTCCTCCACAACGGGACTCCAGACGCCTGCCCTTCTTTAATTCGACGAACCCACCGGCACCTCATAGTCAAAGCGCACGAAGGTACTAAAACGCACATGAATTTAATTTTGAGCGATTCGATGCAGAGGCGCTTATAGAGTGGCTCTTTCTTCCGTTCCTCCTTATTGTGTTCGATAGTCTTCGCATGCAAGTTTCTCCTAAAAATAGAATCAGCTTTTTTGAGGATGCTCAAACCTTTTCGAGGTGGATTGAGTTTTTTAACAAATCTGCAGCCGAAGCTGGGGAAGTCTCCTTTGATACGTCTGGGGGGCTTTTCTCCGGGCAATGGTCTGAACAAAAGCTGTGTTGAGAAAAACGGCATTACCGCCATGACCATTTCCCTCGTGTCATCATCAAAATTTTCTGTCATCTGACATCTGTATAAATTATATATGACCCGAATTGTCCCAATACCCCTTAGAAATACGTCATACAGCTCTAATGATTCGTGTAGGTTGCACTAGTATAGTCGTAGAAAAGTTTATTTCATAATCTGACAAGCAACACTGAATTAGGAACTACACTTCCGGAAACTACCATAAAAACAAGTACATAAGGATGATAATTCGCTCTACGAAGAAAAAATTAGTGGTCTTCCGCCCACGGCCTTGAGCAGAGCATCGGAACCCAAACACGACTAATTAGTAATTGAAGGCTAGTTTACCTCAACGCGGATACCAGCCTCAGCACGGTCCTTCTCGCTTCCCTCGTTCTGAGCGCGTTGGGCCGGATTCCATCCCCCCCCGAGCGGCGGCCTCATCGATTTCCTCGAGCTGAAAGCGAAGTAATGGCCGATGCTAGTGCGATACCTTAATCGCTTCTTCAGCCAGCATCCTTGCAGGAGCCGTCGATGTTCATGGAGAGGGTTCCGGAAGACACGAAATATTTGCTGACCTTGTCCTCGTTGTCAGTGACCAAAATTGAGGATAACACACTACTGAAAACAATACCTGAACGTGACGCCCGGCTTCAAGAACCCCGATGGTCGGGACGTGGCTAGCCAAAACACCGACAATTGCGGCGACTGTTGGGACATCGACTCGCTTCACAACCTAGAACGCAAGTAATTAATTAGGAAACGATGTTCAGCATGGCCGACAATGCCAACTCCAACATTCCTTCTAATCTTCTTCGGGTGAGGCCCGAAAATATAGAATATACAAACTATCCTGCCTACGATTACTACAACCAAACCACAAAGGATACCCTCCTCCCAGATCAAAAAATGCAAATAAAATCGCCAAAATAATCTTAAACTCACTGTATTGTTGAAAATCGACTTGTCAGGCGAGGCGAAGCGTGAATCGGAGCTGGTCGGTCGAGCTTTTTGGGCAGCGCGCAGCGGGCGGCGAGGCCGCGCTGGTGATCTGGGCTGCTACTCGAGGTCATGGTGCAAGCATATTACCTGCAAAACGAATTGTATAAAAGATCATAGATTTACAAGCAAAACTTTGAAAATTCACAACATCGAAAATGGCCGCAATGAAGTCGGATCGGGGTTTTGAAGAAAAGGGACAGGGAGGGAGTGGCATTTGGAACGCGACGGAATCGGTGGAAATGGAGAAAACGAAAAAGCTTTAGTGCGGTCGGGTGAATAAGCTAAAACCGTAGGAGGCTATATGAAAAAACATTTATCTTTATGGTCATAATTTAATTACGATAAACATCAAGTTTATTCCGCCCTGGCTGTATCTCGGCTCCTCCTTTATGCTACAGAGCGGTAAATTATGCGAAAATATTTTCCCTGGTCTGTAGAATAAGGATACACATTACATTTTGTCGAAAACGCTGTTGAAGATAAGAAATATAGGTGAAAAAGGCGAAATCTCGCTTGGGTGGGGGGATAGGAAACTCGACTTTCGCAGATATAAACACAAATAAATACCAATATTATTTATTGACAACGCGAGCAGTGGATGGATATACAACGGAATTAAGGCGAGTACGAGGGCTGCTTAAATTGGGGCACAGGGTTGGCGGGTGGGTTGGCAGTGAGACGATCCTGACGGGGCTGCACACGGCCAGCATGCAACGTCTCGGTCGGGATGATGGTCGACGAGGCTGGCATTCGGCTTCTGCTGGCTAAATGGCTCATCATGCGCAGCTGGAACCCGACACGCACCTGAGAATTTGGGGATCTGAGAATTTTCTAAACATGTTTCTTATGACTTTACTAGTCAAAACCACCTGTAAAATTTAATCCAAATTTGTTGAGGGCGAAGCCCCTCTGTAGCTAAGGGTCCATTGTTTGACGATGGGTTTGAGACAAGAACATCTACACGAATAAGTCCAGACTGGTCGCTGCCGACGACGGTCATTTGGGACTTGGCTGTCTTCAGTTGTGCTTTGCTTCTTCACGGAGGCAGAGCTGGGCTGACAAGAGGCCGCTGCTTCCGGTGGTCTTCTGCTTGGCAGCCAGTTTGCCAGGAGTGAGTCGACGAAGCGGTCTGGCTGGGTGAAAAGAGACTTTGGCGGCATGGGAGTCGTGCTTTGCGGAGGGGCTGAGGTGGCGCAGAGGCATCTGGAAAACGACAAAACTCCGGGTTCCGTCGCGTAGTAGTTGTCATAATGGAACGAGGGGCGTTGCGGGGCGCCGAAGCCGGGGTAGTAGCAGAAAGGAGGCGGGCGGGAAGCGGAAGCGGGCCGGCTTCCGCTCGTGCTCAGCTTCGGGGTCCGAGTCGCAGGGTTCGAGTCTGGAAGACAGGATTGTTCCTTAGTATCTAAACGCATTTAAATTTGCGTTCAAAATTTAGGGCTATATCTGAAACCAAAAAAAATTTATAAACTAGACAAGTGCTCGAAAATTGCAAATTTTGGTCGAATATCGACTATTTCAGGCAGATTTTTCTTTTTTACATTTTTTAGTTTGGAATGAAAAGTTATAAGGTCTTACGTTTAGGCATCTCAAAACGAGCCTAGCGAATACTTTTTACTTCCTTTAGAAAATTGTACGAGTTTCGGAAAATTCACTCAATTGAACGAAGAGATTATGGTCGATGGATTCGGTGTCCGATGTGATGGGATATGGTCGGATGGCCCGACGAGCGCATTAGCACTACCGAAGCTACGAGCCGAGTCGGGCGTCTTGGACTTGGGGCCGGAAGCTGAGGTGGGATTGGAGGCAGTGGGCGAGACCCAGAGCGGCCGATTATGTCGTTACCCGGCTGCGGCCCTTAGCCGCAGAAGAGCTCTTCGACGAGCGGCTGGGCCGAACGAGAAGCACTCGAAGCGCTCGTCCCACCGTAGAATGTCTTTACTGGAAACGAGCTGATTTTGGGGATTTTGACACAAAATTAGCTCGCTGGGCGTCGATGTCGATCTCGGAAGCGCGCGGGCGAGAAGCGGATGTTCCACGGCTGGCCGGGGAGACAGAATTCTGGGTGCACGCCGTCTGCATGGGGGTCGTGGTGATGGCAGAAATGAGGGCCCGCACCTGCTCGGGGGTCATGGTCAGCCTGAAAAAATAAAACTTAAGGAAAGGTGGGTTTTGGGTCGTTAACGGAGGTGGAAATCGGTTTTGCCTGCTCATGTTTTTCGCAGAAGCTCTATGAGAAACTCCTCTGCGTAGATAGTTTGATCGCGGTTTTACAGCGTTTTATTTGCTGGATCGGCCAAAACTACATAGCACTTCGAAAAAGCACCTCCCCTTTCTTTTGTGTGTTCGCTGATGAAAATTTTGTTAACATTTTCGGTATAATGTCGCAAACCCAGCAGGCGGAGCACCAGAAGCCCTAGCGGTGGTGGGGGAGAGAGGAGACGAGCCGTGGTCGGGGTGGGGTCCGAGACACGAGCGACGATCTGCGACGGATTGACGACGGGCTTGGCGAGGGGCTGAGCCATCCATGGAATGAGCCGGGTGCACCGACGGCGAGCGGCCAGTCTGGTTTTTGCCTGGGCCACGGCTAGCCGAACGAAGGCGAGAAGCCGAGATGCCGGTGCGCTGGGACACGGTGCTGGAAATGGATTTTGAAGAATTGAAAGGGGGCAGTACCCAGCTCGACGGAAGAGACTGCGGGAGCGGCGGGTCGAGTCGGAAAATGGGGGGCTGGGGGGCAACGAGCCATCAAATCAGCGGGAAACTGAGGTCGAGCGAGCTGTCGGGTTAGCGATAGGGCCGCGGCTGGTAGAGCGGAGACGAGAAGCCGAAATGCCGGTGCGCTGCGAGACAACTGTGAAACCGCCAATCTCGGGACCGACTGAAAGCCCAACCCAGTTCGGCGTGAGAGCGCTGCGGATGGACGAGCATGGGCGGCGGTACGTTGTGGCGAGGATCGGTTATTCGAAGTGTCGCTGGGACGAGGGCTGAAACGAGAAGAAGTAGGTAAAAGCTCAGAAAAATACTCAGTAATGCGGCAGGTCGAGGCCGACATGGGTTGGTGAAGGTGGTGTGGTATGATCGTCGCGCCGTGTTGGTGGATGTTGGCCGGGACGCACATGTCGGTGGCGAACGATTGGGCGGAGATGGCGCCGCACATTGCTGCGAGGGCTCGAGCCGAAAATATTTTTATATTCTTTCATGGGTTAAGAAATTCTTATATTTATGTGAGCCATGCTCTAAGTTCATAACACAGGCTTTAAAGTTATTTAAAAAAGCTAGGTGTTTAAAACGATATTTAAAGTATTTAAAATGATGTATCGAGTTCCACAGTACTAAAAAGAGAAAAACTGACGACGTAGCGGTCTTCAATTGCTCATCGTCGCTGGCTGGCGGCTGGTTCGGGTCGGCCATCCTTCGATAAGAAGCCGAGACGAGTGGGGCGAGTTAGAAGACCTTACAAAACACTCAAAATGAAACCCGCTAATGTTCAATTTGTGGCATAAACATATTCACCCATAAGGCCTGTCATGCAATACGATCGATAGGATTCAAATTTAGCTCTGAAATCGCTAAAAAAGGTTCTAGGTTTCTTTCTGAATTGTTCAGTATGATTTTATACTTTACAATATTTATTCAGTCTAGAACTAGCATTTTCTTTTTTTTATACTCGCCGTATCCGTACTTTAATTTTACGGTGTTTTTTTTATTTTACATCTATAAAGCATTTTCTTCGTATTTTTGGCTATTAAAAATATGATAAATAAGAATATGAGAAAATTAGACCCTCCGGCCCGGTTAATCTCATTTTTACGTTTTATACTTTTTCTCCTCATTCGCACAGCTAGAAGCGTAAGCGCAAGCAAATCCTAGCGCCCCGTATTCGAGTTCTCCTTTTCCTGCTCATCCCCCCACTTTCTCCATTCGGGGCCGTCAGTTCTGTGGCTAGCTGCAAGCCATTGTGATGGATGGGAAATTTATGAATGATGGTGGAGAGCAGAAGAGAATCAGAGAAATAGTAGTGATGGCTAGCTGACAGCCGGGATATCGGCCTTTAGCGGCAACCATCTGTCCCATTTCCTTGTTACAGTTAGCCTGCCAAAAAGGTGCTGCTTTGAGGCAAGCTTTTATTTAAAGACGTCCTTAGACATTTTCAGATTTTCTTTTATTTATCAGTACCCAAGCGCAATAGCAGCGGCCATTTGCGGATTTGATAGCCAATGGGGGCAGTGGAGGTTTTTATGGGCCTCCGGAGATTTGCGTAACGGCGCTCATGTTTTTTTATAGCGGATCGAGTTGCATTCCAGTGTCATTAGGCGGGTAACGTAGCGACAACTGCTCAATTATTAGAGGAGCGCCAAACTAAAGAGATTTTTATCAGCCTAGGGAGTTATACTTTACCAAAAATTATCTCTCTCCTATGCTTGTTACGTTAAAAGATACATTTTTGATCTTTCCTGATAATAAAATACGGTGTATTTTTATCGTTTGGTAGTCTCAGGTACTACCAAAAAACTTTAAAATTCGAAATTTGATCGAAAAAGATCGATTTTTTCTTTTCAGGAAAAATTTGGAAAACTTCTTTGGATACCTTTTAGCACCAATTTTGAATAGTTTAACAATTTTAATAGGATAGTAAAACTTCAAAAAATTTTTTATATTAGCATTTGCAAAAAAATCGATAATTAATTATTAAAGATAATCGGATATTATTAAATAAAATGGTTTCTTTAATATCCCCCCGATACTGCAAAAGAACCGCAATGTGAATTGATTTATCTAATAAATGGAGTTTAAATTTTTCGCATTTATATAAGCCATTGAAATTATCGAATTAAACAGTTTATCAACTAACTTAATCATTTCAGATTATCGGTAAAATGGATTTTTTTAAAATAAACTCAAATCAACAAAATTTTTGTTGCTGATCAATGACATTTCCTTCAATTCGGCACTCTGGTAGTTGGGGTGGATTGTCTGGTGGTGGTGCCAGTGTACGGGGATGGGCCTCAAATCCGGAGATCCGATGGGCCACTGGTATCGTCGGGAGGGGTCCCGACCATCCCCTCCATCCAACACCTCTCTGTTTTTTGTCTCTTCCTGGGCCCTCCCCTACCCACGTCAGCCATCCTAGGCCATCGGCTAATGACCCAAATAGGGCCCGGTCCATTCAAAGCTTCTCTACTGTCTCCAGTCCATCGGGAAGTGTCTAATTTACTGTATTTGACTGCGGTTCCGAGATGATAATTGAGATTGGTCTCCGAGTCCGACTCCTCCGCTCTCCCCGGAGCCACCCGGGGGTCCGTTGGCTATTCGCGAGAATTTTAACCGGCTCATCAGGTGGGAAATTTGTTATTTTATTGGGTTTCTATACTTTGTAACCTATTACTACTATTTTTGTACCTTTATTAGCATGTTTAAAACATCAAAATTAAGCGAATGATGATACTGTAAATGCTGGGATTTTTTTTGCATCTTTTATGTATATCTTTCAAATTTTCTATCTATCATCTATTCATCTAACCATATCTTAAATTTATTAAAAGTAGCCCCCGAGAATTCCAAATAATCTTCTAAAACCTAGAACGCAGTAGGTATCTTACTAAAGAGGGCTTGTGTTCTCGCAAAAGATGAATTTCGTAGGCAACAAAAAGAGCCTTTCAAACTTAAAAATGTTACAGAATGTGGGAACAACAAAAAGTTGCTGGCTATTTAAAACCTTAATAAACTCGGTACCATCCCAGATCACAGGAAGGTCCACAGATTAATTTCAAGAAAGTGTAAATAGATTATACATAGAATGCAAGCCGAAACCGCTAGAAACTAGATCTGTCCATTTTAATAAGGTGCCAGCAACTTTTGGTTGATCCCACATTCTGTAGCATTTTTAAGAGTTTGAAAGGAATTTAGCTCTTTTGTTGCCACGAGAATTCCTCTTTTTACGAGAACCAAAAAGCCCTTCTTGAAAAGACTCTTTTTAGCCTTAGAGAGAATTTAGCCCTTTTGCCTCAATCTTATTGTTAAGATCGTAAAATAAGCCAATGAATACTTATTCAGATGAACCCTTGTACGCAAAACTTCAAAAAAATTTGCCTGCGGCGCTTTGTAACGGTACTAGAAACCATAAGGATGCACGGGGGCGAATCGGCAAAACGGATGTTGCGGGTGGGGTTCGAACCCGTGGGGCAAGCCTTCCCAGTACAGCGTGCTAACCACTAGGCCAACGGGGAGACTGAGGCCCGTCTTGGGGAAGCTAGACCCGCCCGCCCTGACCCGGGACTGGGGCCGGCAAAGGGGAGGGTGGTGCCCCGTATGGCGAAGGTTTAAAGTTATAATATCTCCGAGAAGAAGCATTCATTCGATGCAATTTCTTCTTTACTTTTTCCGGCAAGGTCTAATGCATGTTTGAGCAAAATTTCAGCCCAAACGGACATCATTAACCCTTGTTTTGGCCGCAATTTAGCTTTTAAACTTAAAAATTATATATAAAATTTTTAAAAGCCTATTTTGAAAAAAACGCTTCTTCCTCACCTTCATTTACATCAAGTCGATATCTGTGGAAAATTTCAGCCCAGACGGACCATGGGAAGGCACTTTTTGACGACTACAAAGCGTTTTGCGTACATAACACATACAGACATACAAACGCAGACCCCCCCCCTCGAAACGCAATTTAAATCGGCTGTTAAAATTCGAAATTTAATTTTTTTTCAAATTTTAAAAGCTTATAGTATGTAAAAAGTGTCGCCGGTTCCGATGGTGTATTCAGTTTTGCGATGCGATGCGTGGTTCTTTTTTAAATCCGGAAAAGGACCCCAAAAGAGTCGTATGGGGGGTACTTCAAACTGCAAGGGGTTAGCGGGCTACGCCCGCTACCCCCGATGTTCGGAGTAGCGCCGGGTTGTCAAAAATCAAGTACGAAAAGCTACTCCGTACATATGTATGAGTCTTAGATTTCCTTCTTTTTGGCAGGCAAACGCGCCTTTAAAGTACCTAAAGGGTTCTAGGATGAAAAATTGCTCCTAGCGGGGAGGAGGGCCAGATTTTTCCTATCGCTCCCAATAATGAAAAAACGCCATTTTTGATATTCTACGCTGTTTTGCATGATAAAAACTTGTTGAAATCTACAAAAAATTTGTTTTTTTTTTTGGTGAAAATGTTCGAAAGTGTGCAAGAATTTCATATTTTTTGAATTTTGAAAAATGTTTGTTGGCGTTTGTGAGCAGAAACTACGAAAAATAGAAAATAAAGAAGAATATAATTTTTTCTAGATGATTCTTTGCTAAACAGTCCCCCCGCTAACAGCCCAGTACCGACTTTGGTTGTTCCCGATCGCTTGCCCTTACCAGCCCCTTAGGTCCCACAGAGCCATTACGTGGCCCTGTGAATGGGATTAATATGTTGGGACACAACCGGGTCCCTTGCCAGCTTCTGACAAAGCCGAATCACCGAGTCAACAACGGGGGCTTCTTCTTCTTCTTTCCCCTCCATTCCTCCTTACACCTGATCTGACAGCCCTGTCATCAGGCCGTTCGCCCTCTTTGCTAACTACCGCGCATTCCGCTGCCACCCACCTTCCCTCGGCTAGACTTTATCCGGGCCACTTCAAACTTTAGGAAAACGTCTAAAAATTGTCCTGAAGAAACTCTGCTAGCCCACTTTGTCCAAAAAGTCTCTGTTACTTTGCCTTTTCTTAAAAAAGCTCTTCGATCGTAAAACAACTGGGTGCGTGTAACTGTTCCTAAAGAAACTCTGCTAGCTACCCTTCCCTCGAAAAAACTGCTTGAGTCATCTTCTAAAGAATATCTGCTAGTCTGCCCTTTCCTGAAAAGTCACTGCTAGCCTGCTTCTCCGAACGAACCTCTGCTAGCTTTCCCTTCCTAAAAAATCACCGCTAAGCTACCCTTTCCTAAAAAAACTGTCCCAACTCTGCTGTTTCCTGAAGAATTTCTCCTCGCCTGCCATTTCGTGAAGAATCACTGCTAGCCTGCCCTTTCCTAAAAAATCTCGGCTAGCCAGCTTTTCCTAAAAAATTTGTGCTAGCCTGCCCGTTCCTAAAGAAACAGCTGTTTTTCTGACCTTGAAGCGCCCTAAAAAGAGCTCTAGGGGGGATTTTTCAGTGTTTTACACAGTATTCTATCTAGCAGCCAAAAAAAATACAAAAATACGATAAAATTTTCGATTTTTATTGCCAGTTGGTCATAAACAGAAAATAGAATAAAGATAATGAAAATTAGCTCCTCCCCCGCTTAAAATGCAAGTCCCTAGACTCTAAACCGCGCGAAAAGCTCATTTTTTGGCGCGCAGCAGGGTTGTTGACGGTGAAATGTGAGTAGTGTCCGGGCGGTGGCATCATCAGAAGCCCCAGGGAAGGGCCGAACCCACTAAACGTCTTCTTTTTGCATCCTTTCAACTTGCCGCCAGGGAAGGGAGAGAAGGAGTCTTTGAGCCGATAACACCCTGCAATTGCTCAACCACTGACTCGGTAAGGAAACGCTTTTGCGGAGGGGGTATTGATTTCAAAACTAAGATGTTTGAGGTTTAAATTTTCTAGCATTTCATTTGGGTTTTTCACGCGTAATTTTGCTTTAAAAACAGTTTTTCTTAAAATTTTCGGGCTTTTTTTGCACCTTGCTTCTTCATCTACTTGCTTTTATTGCTGTCTTACTTTCGAATTATTTTTGTTTTTCTTTATTAACCCCTTTTTAATTTTGTTTTTCCACGCGGGATAATCTTATTTTTTTAGTCAGTTTTTGTCCAATTTTTGGCTGTTTTTGGGCTGGAGATAATTTTTTGACAAAAAAAAAGGTGTTTTGCTGCTATTTTCATTGCAATTTCAATTTTTCTAGGATGTCCGGAGCTCGTGCTCTCTTCCAGCGCGACGTCACCGCCCTCCTCGAGCATCCGGACGGCGTTCAAGCGTTTCGAGCATGGCTTTCTCTGGTGGGTTTCTGATTTCTTTACGGTTCTAAACGCTACAGGTCACTGGATGCAATCTTTGCCCAAGCTTAAATATGGAAATACGGTCCTTTGGCATTATCGGGGGTAAAGGAGATTTTTTAAAGAGTCCTGGTATGTTTTGTAAGGCAAGATAATAATTTTAAAAGTATTTTTAGTAAAATGTATCTAACGTGCCTAACGCCTTAAAAAACCTTTAAAAATTCCTCAAAATTCAAATTATCGGCGAAAATCAGCCATTTTGGACGAAAAATTGTTATTTGTAGTACGTTGCCGTTTATAAGTAATAAAAACGAGGCGGAAACAGTTTAAAAAATTTAATGTGTAACTTGAGTTGCTCCCCCCCGCTAATGCCAAAGCACCCGAAATCCCTCGTTTTAGGACCCAGCGCGCCCGGTCGATGCCCTCGATCTCTACTTGGCTATCCGAGGCTTGAGTCTACTGCGTGAGCGTCACGATCCACACACTCTACGCACCGCATGCCATATTCACCGCAAATACATCAGGTTGGTTTTTAAATTCTGCCCCTGATACCGTACTGCTTCAGTTTGCGCACGGGCACTTGCAACTTCTTGAGCAACGATGTCCGGACGGAGATGTCCACCCGAATCCATGCCCTTCCTATTCACAGCCCTACCGTACCCCCACCACAACCTCCGGCCGATCTATTCCAACGGGTTCAGGAGCCCCTCGTCCGCCACCTTGCCCATCTACACGCGCAATTCGCCGCTACTAAGGGGTTCCATGATGTGAGTTGTCGTTTACGGGTGCTGGTTCATTAGCGGGGGACTTAACCTTTATTCGGCTTAACCTTGATAGTAATCGAAAATACGCTACTTTTTGACTGTTTTAATGGGTTATGAACACCAAAATTCATGAAAGCATTTTTAACGTTAAAAATTGGAAAAATTTTACTATTTTTGATACATTTCCCTAAAAGCAGGCTTTCGACGATTTTGATAATTTTTGTAAACTTTTTATAGCTGAAACAGCGTAATAGCTTATTTTTTATTCTGGGGGCGCTTACGGAAAAGGAAAAGTGAGGTTCTCTCCCCTCTCGTTTCCGCTCTCTCTCTCTCTCTCTCTCTCTCTCTCTCTCGCTATCTCGCTCCCTCGCACAGGCTCTTTCTCCTGCTCTATCTCCCTGGCGTGACCTATATCTCTCCCGAAGTCTCCCTCTATCTCGCTCTCTCTCTAGCTCTGTCTCAATCGCTCTCTCTCTCTCTCTCCCTCATCATTTCCGTTTTTCACGATTCCATATTTTCAGTTTGTACACGCGATCAGCGCCTCAAATACCGAAGAGCCATCTTTGGACAGCGATGAGCCTGGCTCCTCAAAAGGATCGTCTCCAAGGGAATTACCCATTGACGTGGAAGAAATCGGACTCTCCGAAGATCCCCCAGCACTTCCCGTCCATCGGCATTTCACGTTTAACACCACGAAACGGAAGCGGACAAAGGTTTGTTACTCTGTGTGATCATGGGCAGGCTAGCAGAGATCATTTGGGAGGCTTTGCCTGACCTCATACATTCCAGCTCTCCGTCCCTGTTGAGCCGACACCATTTCGGCACGATCGCGCGGATGGTCGTCTCCATTTTGCCGCTATACTATCTGAAAAACTGGGCGCTCTTCGGATTACTGTCGATCGGTAGGGTATTACGATAGGATATTCAGGTTTTTAACATAATTAATAAACGCAAAAACTACAAAAAAAAAAACTAAAAAAAGAGTTTTCAGCCAGTATTTCGATTTTTAAATCTTTTCGAGGTTTCTCTGCCTTTTCAGGATCGATTCCGTTTCCGGAAGTCCGACTGAACCGACGACAAGTGATGAAGAAGTCTCAAGATATGCCGATCGCATGAATGAGAAGAGGAGAAGCTGTAGGCTTTGAATTTACGCTTTTTGATCATTATTTGCAATCTTCCCGATCCCTTTCAAATCCCATTTTTAGCCTCTTGCTCACCCCCATCCCGCCCTACCAATGCCGCATTCCCGGATCTGCTCCGCTCGAACGGCTTCGCCCCGCCGCCCATCCAGACCACACTGCCCAACCGCGGTCGCTTCGACTTGACCACCCCACGCCGCTCGCAGCCCAGGTACGGTAATTGGGACACGTTTTATAAAAAATGCCTAGGAAACACGAGCTGCCTCCATCCGATTCTTCCGGATTTTGCAGTGCAGAGTCGGCGTTTTGTGATCGTTCAATTGATCGGAAGGCACAAGGTTTCAATATTAACCTTATTTTTATTAGATTGTTGATTTAGAACTTTCTTTTTGATAAGTTTACCAAAAAAGTTTAAAAATTCGTCCTAGAATTCCCGCTGTCGCCCTTCAACCGACGAGATCGCAGTCGAGATGCGCGGAGATTCACGTTTGGCACGATTCCGTAAGCGATACTGTAGATATTGGTACTGGACTCTTAGCGGGGGGGGGCTTACCGGGGAAGCAAATTAGCATTAGGTAACATTTAGTTTAGCTCTAGCCAAAAGTAGTAGCTGCCCCCCGCTAACCGACCAGTACCATGAAATCCAGGGCAAAGTAGAGATTCTAAACAGCACAGCCATTTTCAGACGCCCCCAGAAAATCGCCCGCGAGACACCGCTACTGACCGTGACACTACGCGAGGCTACTAACCACGCAATTCCGCTGGTGGCCCGAGTTCCGGCCAGTCCAACCCTAACCTTCAAAGAATTCCGCAAACTCTTTGGCGTCCGCAAGGAGGGGAGGAGCAGGTGGGCAACAAGCCACCGGAAAATCAGCCTGATTTTTCTAGATTATTTTTCAAAGCCCCTTGCGACGATTGCTCGGCCCCATTCCAATGGAATCTGCTCTACGATGACGGCGAGGCGGTGCCAATCTTTGGAGGCCAAGTGTTCGCCGAGAGTCGCCAATGTCCCAGTGATGATTCGGAATAGAAATTGTTGCAGAAATGGAAAGAGATAAATTCTGGAAATTTTAATTCATATGGTATCGCACATCAAAATACCTATCTAAACACACGTCCGATTCCCGGATCTTACGTCAAACGGGTGGCATGCTGCCGAGATAAGGAGCCAAGAAGCCGCTTCGGGATCCGTTGCGGCTGAAGTTCAGCGTTGCCAATCAAGAGATTAGGCAGTGAGTGAGGTTTTTAGATATCACAATCCGTTTTTGCACACCACCGCGTTTCTAGAGGCCCTGTTTATTTTACTACTTCAGCACTTTTTAAAGTTCCAAATGTTTGTGCTTTTTTAGTCATAAAAAAACTACTAAAAACTTTACAAAACGCCAAAATCTTGCTGGAAAGTAATAACACTCTCTTTTTAAGCTTAGAAAGTACATGAAAATTGTTACATTTTAGAAAATTTGATTTGATTCTGGCCCAGAAATCGCTTCAATTTCAATTTCTCAGTTTTCTTTAGTTTTTTTTGTCATCATCAAGTTGAACAAAGTACAAAAATCTAGATTTTTTTAAATTTCTCAAATTCCTACGCCTTTTAGCCGTCAAAACCACTAAATCTGTAAAAAAAAACTAGGCTATTTAGCTAAATCTACTCGCTCACGGTCCAGGACCGCTTTCTCCGCCTCAAAAAAAATCGTCAGGCTTTACCCCCTAAAAATCGTTGCAGATGTCGAAGGTAATCCTCGTCGCCCTGGTCGCCCTCCTTGCCGTCGTCTACTCGTCGAGCATCTGCGACAAGTGCCAGGCAATGATGCAGAATGCCCGCACCAACTACAAAAACGACTTCTCACAGGTGTTTTCGACCAAATTACGCCTAGAAAGGCAATAATTCTCCAGGTAACCGCCCCGCAACTCCAGAGCTTCATGGAGGACCAGTGCAACAAGGAATTCTCTGGACTTGAGGTAAACAAAATTCGGAATGGTCAAAAGGCAAACTCAGATACCCCCACAGCCGACCCACCTGCCGTATCTCGGCTCCCTGTTCATCTACAGGTGTGTAAAGTATACCAAAATACTCGCCAGAGCAAGACGAACATTTTGGTATACTTTACACACCTGTAGATGAACCGGGAGCCGAGATACAAAAGTTGGGTGCCGGCTGGGGGGTATCTGGAGTCTTACCGTCAAAAATTAAGACTTTTTAGTGCGTAAAAACTATTAATACACAAAAAAAGCTGAAAATTAAACTGAGCTGAACTGCAAATTTCTGATTGTATTTTTGTAATCTTGTGATTTTTCGACATTTTTTATGCTAGTTCAAAAAGGTCCAACTGTCAAATTTTTCAAATTTACCAAAAAACTTATACGGCTTTTGCGGTTATTATTTCGGTATTAAAAACTCGCTAAAACTACCCCATTTTCCTTTCAGAAAAGCGCGTGCCACAAGGTGGTGGACAAGGATTCGAACGAGCTTCTCCAGGCCTTCAAGGCCGGCCAGAACAACCAGCAAATCTGCCACACCGCCAAACTCTGCTAGGGGCCCCCGGATTCATGATAAAATTATTTTTCTAACGTTTCTTGAACGCACTAAAAATCACATTAAGATTCGCAACGGCCCGCCGAGCCTCGGAAACCATTTGAATGTACATAAAGATAAGGGAAATGGGCGAGAAAACGTGGACGTCTGAGTAGAAACCAGATATTTGCGATAAAGCTGGGCACGCGGCGTGGTTTGGCAGTTCTACAGTTATCTTTATAAAAAATTCTGGAGCTGTTCGCCATGCTCAAGTCCACAAGGCTACTTTCAGAAGCTTTTTTTTAGCTTTTCGAAAAGCCTAAAAAAGCTAAATCGATGCTCGTCGGTTCTTCCTCAGGATCCCTTTTTTCTAATAGAAATCGAGAATTTTTGTAAACTGTGTTTTTTGCTATTCCTAAGCAAAGAAGCGTCAGAAATTTTTATTAAAAAAAAAAACTTTTGACAAAAAAACAGACGAATTTCGACCTACATCACCAAAGCGTTAAAAGTTTTTAGATGGTCACTGTACTTGAAATATAGCCAAATTTTCCTACAACAAAGTAGTAAACACTTATTACTGCATTACTTGAAAGTTATGCGCTTATAGGAAAAATACTCCATCCCCCCGATAATGCTAAAGACCTATTTCCCCTGATCACCAGCCTCCGGTTTTCAAATCCATGTCTATCTATGCTTCATCCATGTCATCCAATCTTTCGAGTTTCGGCCGCTGCGAGATTATTTTCTTATAACAAAATGTAATTTTTAGATGTCGCGCCTCACTCTGTTGGTCTTGTGCGCCCTGGTGGCTGCTGTGGCCTCAGTCGACATGTGCGCTACCTGCACGGTTGGCTTTTAAGGCTTGTAAAGGCATCTTTCCGGGCACATAACGTCCTCGAACTAAAATAGTTCATAACTTTCGGAAAATCGTGATTCCCCGCATTTCGTAGTCACTTTGAAAATCAGAGCAATATTCTGCCAAAGATAGGCCTGGTCCCAAACCGGAAGCCCCGACGACGCTAAAAAATTCGGTTTCCCTCCCCCGATAATGCGAAAGAACCTTACTAGACGATGTGCGGGGATGCTCGCGCCAACTTCAAGAACACGTGGGGCCCGGTGACAGTCAACGATCTGAAGACGTTCATGGAGCAAGATTGCAAGAATAAGTTCAGCGGTGCCGAGGTGGGTTGAACGGAATAAGTCAGTTAAGCTTCTGTTTAAGGGTCTCGCCTGCAAGGCTTTCGTCGATCAGAAATCCTCCCAGATGCTCGACGATTTCAAGGTAGATTAATTTGATTTTATCACAGCAAATTAACATATACAGGCTGGCCTCACCGATCAGCAGATCTGCGTCAAGGGCGGAATCTGCACATGAACACGCTAATGAACGATGAATAAAGCGGATATACACAGATACAAGGGAGATACAGAGATCGGCGAGTAATGATGAGAGTCGAATGGCCGTAAAACACAGATATGGATGGGTACAGAGATATAAAATGGGAAATTATTCGAATAATCGATGGCTCAGGCTTCATCTTCGGAGCTGCTCTCGCTCAGCTCAAGTTCAGCGAGTAAGGTGGAGTCCGGTTGTTGCTGAACGGTCGTTAGATAAAAATATAGTTAAAGATTTGTACCTTCTTGGGCTTGCACGGTTCGTCGAGGTAGTCGAACGGCGACTTGGACACGGATTTGTCGGCAGAAACCGTTGAATGAGGGCTTGAGGCTGAAATAAATATAATTATATCGAATTATCCATCGAAATAATAAAATATAATTCGTAAAGTGAAAAATACTCACATAATCCTTAAATCGACTTAAAACTAGGTATAGCCTCAAATAGATAATAAAAATTGAAAAAATCTCACTCACATGTTGTACGTGTTGATATTGAGGCAGGGGACGCGCCGGAGACGTCGTCCAAAAGCTCGTCGTGATGTTCAGACGGCCGGGAGCACGAAGCCACCTCTTTCGAGCCCTAAGAAGAAGCTTAATTTTTGGTGATAAACTACCAACCCCGGGCCGCATTCGTTCAATTTTCTTGAGCATGTCCCGCTTGATGTCCATAGATCTAAATAAATATTACTTAGAATTCTCAGCACGTATACCTCGACTGTTTGGCGAAAATGTTGCTGTCGAGTTTTTCGATCGAGATTGTGCCCGTGGTCTCGTCGTAGAAAAATAGACATTCCTAAAAAAACTTTGCAAATAAATAAAACTACAAAAACCTTTTCGGAGCACGTTGGCTTTTGGGCTCCTTGAAAAATCGAGACATCGTCGCCCTGATCCGCATGGACTATCTAAAAAGGTTACTGAAAACTATATAAATATCGTTCTAGACTATATACAAAATAAATATAAATACCTGAACTTCTTCGGTGCCCATGCGAATAAATGAGTCGGTGGTGTTGGAGGTGACACTTTGGGGCTTGAAGTCATCTGAAAGAAATTAGAATCATCAGAAAAAAGCATTCGAGCATAAAAACTTCAATAAATCAAATAAAAATTACAACTATGAACTTTGTGCTAACAAATGAAAAAACTTACAGCGCAACGTGTGGTATTCCGGGCGATCCTGAAGCGGCGTAGTGAACGTTTTTCCCATCTTCAAAGTGAATTCGCCCTCCGGGATGCCGGCCATCCTAGAAAAATACAATAAATGTCAAAACCAACGTAGCCTCCACTTCCTCCCCGAAATATTCTAATTGTAAAGCTCGACCTCCATGAGAAGGGAAACCCGACCCGGGAAAGCGTTAGCCTTTGTAAACGAGTGTTGATAACGATTGCGTGATTCAAATTGGGTTGAGAACGTTTATCCACACCTGCCATCATTAAGACCTGCCATCATTGAGATCGATAAGAAAGGGTACGCGTAAAGTGAAGGCATTAATGAGATACATATAAGGCATCAATGACAAAATGACAATCATCGTGTGAACGGTCACAAGAAAAACCGGGAGAAGATTTAGATCGAGAATTGTTTCCAGTCGACTTCAAGGCTAAGTAGATTCAATAAGAAAGAGAGAGGGAGAGGGAGAGAGAGAGAGCGAGAGAGACAGAAAGTTGAGCGAGAGGGAGAGGGAGAGAGAAAGAGAGAGCGAGGGAAAGCGAGAGAGGGAGAGAGAGAGGGAGAGGGAGAGAGATAGAGAGTTAAATTTAATTTGCATTTGCAATTTCCTTAAATCTAATTTCAATGAATTCAGGAGCGTATAAAAGCTAGGTAAAGATAGAATGATACTTTCCTTCTCTCTGATGGACTCTAACCGACGCAGCGCGATCTACTCTGTCCAAACCGGGCCCGACGGGAAGCCGCTGACCGGCGAACGTTCGGACGTGGAGAACGGCAAGGCGGGTCGATTCTAGCGTTTAACTAGTTTTCTTCCAGGAGAAAGAAACTGGTGCTGACCCGGTGAAGAGCGGCAAGGTGCCGAACCCGAAGAAGAAAGAAGGTGCTGCGAAGGAAGCTGTGAAGGTCGGGGACAATTCTAGCGTTTAACTAGTCAACTTACAGGCTGTCAACCCTTTGCCTTCGAAGCGTTGCTATGGATGTCTGAATCCTGCTCCTCCGGCCGGGCGCTTCTGCTTCAAGTGCGTTAACCGGAAAAGGTTGGTGTAATAAGGGAATGAAAACCTTCGAATATCAGCTCGACTTCGAACAAGATGTGCAACAACTATTGCCCGTTGTACCGCAAGATGGCGAATATCCGGTAAATGATGCCTTGAGGCTGGCAACAGCACCCGTTTAGCCCGCACCCCGATCTGAGCGATCTGAGCGATCACGAGCTGCTCATGGCCGCCCTCAACAGTAAGTCGAAGTAATTTCTGCCATGACCTCCTTTTATTTTCAGTGCAGCGGTGCGCGACGTGCTGGTGGAGCGACTGCGTGTACCGCCTCAGCTTCCTGAACGGCAAGTAGCAGGCACCAGCGGGCACAAAAGCGATTTCAATGTTCATTATAAGCCTATTTCGTATCGTATTGTGTATTGAATAAAGATCGCAATTTTTTGGACGACGTTTTACAGTCGAACAATTTACATTTTTTTTAGTTAATCACCACCGACATGTGAAAACGAAGATTTAAATAGGCCGCGCGCGCGATAAAATGTTAATTACTCGCAGATGGAAACTCAGATGCAAAAGAGAGATAACGATAGGACGGCACCCTACGCTGTGTGATTCGAATCGAGATGAAACGTTTATCCACACCTGCCATCATTATCATTGAGATCCATAATAAAGGTACACGTATCGTCAAGGCATTAATGAGATACCTATAAGGCATCAATGACAAAATGACAATCACCGTGGGAAAGGTCACACGGAAAACCGGGAGAAGATTTAGATCGAGAATTGCTTCCAGTCGACTTCGAAGGTACGTAGATTCAGGATGGCGACGAGCTGGGAACGAGCGAAGCGCGGGATCGCGATCAGGGTGCATTTGCGATTGCCGGATCCCACGTGTACCGTCACCTAAAATTTGGATCTAAATATATCTAAATGTTACTTACCTCCGGCTTCGGCTGATTGCCGGCGACCATTACATGTGGGTAGCGCTCAATCGAAAAAGGGTCGCGATCGTGTAGAGGGAATCCATCAACCTGAAAAAGATCGGTTCTTTCGCATTATCGGGGGAGGGGCAAACTTTTCCCATATGCTAGTAACATAATGGCAATTCCTTCGAAAACGTTTCTAGCAGAGTTGGACTCCATTATAAGCGGAAAAAATAACTGACAATTTTAGAAAAACCTAGGAAGATAGAAAAATTGGCCCCCAAGGAAAAAGGTGCCCTGGTAATAGCAACATTTAACAGTACTTTTAAGCAAAATGTAGCTATCTTTCTAAGGGAAAAATATGAAAAATATACCGTATCGGGACATGTTGGGGCCACATGTTGCCAAGTGAGCATCAGCTCCATCAGTTGACAGGCGGACTGGATGTTCGAAAGACGACGCAGATCAGACACAGTTTGACCGGAGAGAGCACAGAAGTCAATCCCGCCTAAATCACGATACCTTCAGAATACTAAAATTTTCCTACCAAGCGTGAATTCATACGGATTGGTGGTCAGGTTGAGTGTTCCCCCATTCAGGCCAGCCATCGGCAAAACCGTTCTGAAGCAAAATGACTGTAACGAAGCGATCAACTCACTTATGGATAGGCCGTTGAGGGTGGAGGGCCATCGTTGGATCACCTTCTCCGGGCATCAAATCAACCGGCACCAAAGCTGTAAGCCTGGCAATATGCTCATCTAACGTCTTTGCACAGCCGACGTTCGGGGCTTCTTCGTGGCGAACCAGATAGGCGGCTTTGGACGAGAATTCTTGGATTTGGGCGGCTGAACGGAAATAGTGAAACAGAATGAACACTTACAAACATTGATGCTCTCGCCGGCGATTAGGACACGCGCGATTCGGGATACGTCGTCAGCCTGGAAGCGGGAATGGTTTGAAGCATTTTGTAGCCGCTGATACCTCGATTCCCATTTGACCGCCAACCCATTGTGAAAAAAGGTTGAGTGAAGAGAGAGTATTCGCGTCGCGTACCGGATCGCCACAAATTTCGATGCCTAAAAATGGCGCTCTGATTCAAGGAAATACCGTACCTGACAAAATAGCAATCTTCGGGTCATCCTTTACTTTCGGAAACGGTTTTTGCGGGGCAGGAGTCGGCCAAACAACCTGCTTCACGTCGAAGACTCCGTCAGAAACCTAAAATAATATGTTTTTGAAAGCTGGTATCGTTTACCTGGCGACCATATAATCCACAAGTGCACCCTGTCGCCACGTGATCCATACTAATATTGCCCGTCAACCGCACAATCTGCGAATCGTCTTCAAACTCGAGAAAATCTTTGTTGCCAATGAGGGAAGGCCTAAAACACAGATTTAACAAGCAAGAGGTAACTAACATTTCTTCATCAATCTCCGCGGCTCCCCCTTCCTCATCATCCAAATCTTCCATTTTCATTTCCTCATCAGCCATCGCCTAAATGGAAACTGCCGAAATAATATAGCAAAATACCTTCAAAACTGACGGGCGTGCTTTGATCCGCTTCTCAATGGTACCGACGACCAGTACCTAGGAAATAATGAATTAAGAGTGCAGCTTCCACATACATCAACTTGTCGAGCATCGATATCATCTCCATTTTCTGCAACTTTCTCAAGAGAAGATACCTAAAAATACAAATACAAGTTCAGAAAACTGAAAAATAGTACCTCGATGTGTTCGCCAAGCATTAGTTTGGCATTTGCGACGACCCGTTGCTTGGCCTGCGCGACCCGAGCCTCGTAGAGGTGAAAATATTGGCGCTGAAAACATATAAAGCCGTATTTTTTTATTTACCCTGTGCCAATTTCCGGCCAAGTCACTTGGTGCAAGCAAAAATCTCTGCGAGCGGTTTTCATATGGCAGCACATGACGTTTGACACGCTCATCCGTGATCGTCATCGTCTGCGGTCAGAATCTAAATTTTATTTTTTATAGCACATAAATTTTGAAATCCAATAAAACCCAACAAAGACAAGACCTATAAATTCTAGCTAAGGCGCCAACACACATTTTGCCAATCACAAACTCGGGTGGTGATGTCAGAAAAGAGAATGAGTTGACAACAGATCCTGTGAGATGCTATTCGACTAGAAACTTTGATGGAAATAATATGCTTCATTCTTTCTTTGCAGCTGCTGAGCGTTCGGCAACCGCTCGGCGTCCCCTCGAATTTTTGACGTCATCATCTATCCGTTGGTACCAATCGTAGATTTTGCCAGCAACAATCACTTCGTTAAACGCACGACAATTCACAAAAGAATTCATCGCCCCGTAGAGGGCGAGGTCGGCGAGACTCGGCTTGTCTCCACCCATAAACTTCCGCCCACCAAGCGCCTCCATCCACTTGTCACAGGCATCAGCCAGAGCTGCACGTTCATCGTTGATATCGTGCTTCTTTTTTAATCTTTTCCCGATCAAATACATCACTGATGCGCCTAGGTAGACGGCGAGCTGGCGTTCGATGTACGTAAACACACGATCCCATTCTCCAGCCTTCTCGAATTGACGGAAAGTTTCCAGCGATTCATCGAACGACCGGTAGACGTTCGGCGAAATGAGGTGAATGAAATGGTCATCAACCCACACGCGCCATTCCCGCTCTTCACGCTGATGCCCAATATCAGCTGGCTTCAGGTCCTTTTCGAATAAGACGAAATACTTGTTGGGCCACTTCTTGCATGGCTTCCCTTGATCATCAACTGTGTCAAAAGACGTGTACATGTCCATAATCTCGCTCAACGATCGTTGAGGGTTCACCAAGTAGGTGGCCATCTGAGACATGACGAGAGAAGACTCGAGAAGGTATTGATCATCCTGTGCGCGGAGTACGGGAACTTTCTTGTATCCTTGTGTGAACTTGAGCTCCGTTTTTGTGACCGGGTTGACTTCTATGACTTCGTAGGAGAAGCCGTAGTAATCCAGAAAAGCCCGTACTTTGCAGCAGAAGGGGCAGGATTGGTATTGGTAGAGGCGTAGGTTCAATCCGGTCTTATCGTCAGCGTTAATGATTTTGCGGCTGACAATGTTGTCCTTTGCGAGTGGTCGTTCGGTGACGGGACGTTCGACGGATATTCTGTAGGGATACTTCTCATCAAGGGCCGACTTTGACACTGTGCCCCATCCAAAGAGACCGGCTATGGAGGCAGCTTTTGTGACATTGCGCATCCAAACCATCGACGTCTAAATGGGTTTTACAGCGAATTTTTGGGGGCCATGTTTTCGATATCGGTCCGTCACAACAGGCATGCTATGAAAGCCGATTGGTTTTCCAATATTTATTCAGAAGGAAACGTGAAACGCATTATTACCCGTAGCAAAGTCGAAAAGATCAATCAAGATGCGAAAGTGATAACTAGCGGAAGTTTCCAATAATGTGAAAGATGAGCTAGGGAACCGGAGATGCTGGGGTGGAGGATGGCTCATCTGGTAGCGGAGATTGCTGCGTGTCAGACTGATATTCCGGCGTCATCACGGGATCTCCGTCGACGTCTTCTTCGGGGTCAGGTGACATGGGATGTTCCTAAAACAGAAAATTAAGGTAAGGCTTGCTTATGCATGTCTCTACACTTCTTACAGGCCTTATACTCCATAGCCAACTCTGACCTGTTGAATTTCTTGTACTCCCGCGTCGCTAATCTCGCTCGGCTCCTCGGTTTCCATCCTTTCGGTCTCTTCGTAGCTCCGGTCTGCATCCATCGAAATATTTTCCTTATCTTCCTCGTCGTCAACACGTTGTGCTGGAGATGCCATTGATCCCTTGGGGGATGCTCCCATTTCAGATGCTTCTTGTTGGCCGACTGTTAGCGATGTGTCAAGGTTATCGTCTTCCGCGGAGGGGATCTGAAAAAAAAAACACAAAGCTAGGAAAATCACGTAACCACCAACAAATGAATAATTTTCATAATTTGCACGAACGCACCTTGTAAACAGCGATGTCCTTTTCTTGTCCGGTAGAAATCAAATAACAACCGCTGGGATGAAAGTCGAGGGAAGTCACCTAAACTTGATTTCAAGATAATACCCATATATTACCATTCTTTCGTGGATGCTCGGAATCTTCAGAAAAGCGGATGAGGCGGAGAAGTCCCACAATATGATCTAATCAGCGTATAACATAGTATTAAACCATCCCAACCTCCCCAGTCAAACTTCCGGTGGCTAGGCGCAATCTGTCCGCAGGGCCATCCAAGGATATGGTCGACACACCGCTTGTATGTCCAGAAAGTGTGCGCACGCATGAGGGGTTTTCTTCATCCCTAAAATTGCTGTCTACAGAAATCTGTGCGAAACAAACGTTCTAAAAATCTTGAGCGTTTTGTCGTCACTTCCGGTGATAAAGTAATCTTCGTCGGGGGTAAACGCCAACACTCGCACCTTCATAAAGTGAGCTAAAATTTGCGGATCACCGAAGCTAAATCCAGGGAAAATACCTTCGCATGAAGCACGCGGTTCTAAGCTTCGACCATCCATCACAGTGACACCACCATCTTTTGAGCCGAATCCGACATACCTTCCGCCCGGAGACTACATATTTTGATGTTGGCACGCCCCAAAAAATTACCGCAGACACCACGGAGACGTGTTTCATATTCTCATATGTGGCTTGTTTGATAATTTGTCCATCAAAATCGATGAGGCACATCGAGCCGGAGAAGTTGGCTGGAATCCGCGAGATTATTCGTTGAATTCCGTTAAACCTGTAGCAAACGTCCTCGTGAACGGAACACAGGCGAGATAGCACGCATCCATGTATCCAAAATCCATGGTATTTATCTCGATTTTAGTATCAGAAGCTGGAAGCAATGGATTAAGCAAATCAAATAAACGCACTGTTTAACTCAATTTTGTGAACCATCGAGTCGATGCTGATGACCAGGATTGCTAAACACAGTGTAAAAATAGACAAGCTTCTAACTTTTTCCATCTGATGCAATATCCACCGTTTGGACGCCACATCTCCATTTCTTGGCCTCCATAAAGGCAACCATGTCGAGCTTGCCTTCGCCGGTTTCTCGCCTGAAAACAACAAAATGTCCTTACAAAATCACTACCCACTTACACATCCCAGACTTTCAATCCATCCTGAGCCACCGAAACCAACGCCGTCGGTCCATCCGAACCCCTCGTGAATCGGCCGAACGCAATGTGCTTTTCGTGCGCTAAAAAGAATTTATCAAGGCGATCCTAGAAACCTTTCAGCACTTTGTTCCGCAACTCGACGGCTAGAGGCGCTTCGGGGGCTTCCGCTAAGACGGTCATACCGCCAAGTCCTAAAAGCTGTTTTAAATAAAATAAATTAAACGAGGTATACCAATTGTTATAGCTAAAAGGTATTAGGAAGAGTTTTGCGCTAACTTTCTTTTAAAATTGCAGGTTTACGAACGCACCAAAGTCACAGAAAGGGCGCGGGAAAGGGGTTGACACGTACCGAGGGCCGCTCGGGACGAATTGAAAAATATTTGGATTCGGAGATTTCAAATAGAGAAAATAAAGCAAAAAAATATAAGTTTAGAAACGAAAAAAAGGATTAGAAAGCTTATCTAGTGGGATATTCGTTGGACCAACTGGAAAAATGTATGCGTTAAAATACCGAATTGGAATAAGTTTGAATACGCGGAAACAGTAGATTGTTTCGATTTTCGGGCTTTCGGACTCGAATTTCACAGCTTGAAAGCAAGCCGCTCGCCTGGCGCTCTTCAGAATGGGCGACTCGGGCAACCCGGCCACCGAGAAGAGCGATGATGAAGTCATGGTCGACACCCCGTAAGTTGGGCTCGTTTGCTTTACCCGAAAAGCGGCTTTTCTTGCCGGAATAGTTTCAGAAACGATCAATAATCAGAAAAGTAAATTAGGCCTTTTTTAAAAGTACAAAATTTCATTTTCAGAAGCATCTCGGCGCTCCCGTCCACATCGACGTTGGCCCGCACGGCCGTGACGTACGACGCGCTGAGCCCGATGTGGGATAGAAGCGCTGTTAGAGCGACATTATAATAACAAGCTTTCACTTTAAACACTTTTGTAGGAATCGTACGTCTCGCTGTCCGACGGCTTGCAGTCCATCTGCTCGCACAGGCGAGACGGTCGACACGTTCACCTCGTTTGCCAGTACCAGGTTCGCCCTTTTCTCTTTTCGTAGATTTTTGTTTATTTAAGCGCATCGCCCTCGTTGGAAGTGCAGAACATCGTCGCTCAACCGGAGATGGTCATCGCCGGCATCGACCCGTCCGGATTCATTCGGGTAGCGGATATCCTCCAGTAAAATCAAGGAATGAGCGGTTATGTACTCCCTGTTGGCAGGGGCAGTTAATTTTTCTTAATAATCCTCCATGGTCCTATAACAATTTATAACCCTTTTTATATTTTACACAGTTTTTAGATATAAAAGGCTCGTAAAAAATTAAATTCGACAATGTATGGAAAATGACCAAAAAAAAGTAAATTTTCCAATTTTCCTGGAAATTTAAAATTTTTTAGAATGTTCTAACGATCAAAAACTACTAAAACATTTAAATTATAGGCAGAAAACAAAAATTACGCCCCCTAACAGTCCAGTACCAGCAATTAGATCGCCAAACCACGCAACAAAAGAAAGACGCTTTTAAGGTGCGTGTGCGCGTCCAGCTATTGGAGGTGCCAAATGGCCAGAAGAAGCTGAATGCCCGCATCACCGGCCGTCTTCCTCGACATTTGACGTTGAGCGACGTCCGCGTACTGCCGGTCCATCGAGCTTCTTCTGACAAATAGCGCCAAACCCCCCCTCCATCCATTAAAATAATACACAGAAAGTCGATTCAACGAAACATGGTTCCCTCTTCGAGTCTCAGATATGCCAGTTGCACTCGTTTTGTGAGTTAATAAATACTTTATTGCAATTCGATGTATTTTGCTTCGAAACATTTCTTCAAAACAATTTATTGAACCATCACCAAATATACATAAAGAAATGTAAATATATCACAATCTGTAAAATAGATGTTTTTTGGTGTGCTGGCCAGGCCAAGGCTCTGCAGACAACAGGAAAGTGTGGTAATATCATAATTTCGAGTGGTGGGAGCAGCTACAGCTGTGGAATCAACAGAGCGACATAATATAGCACTGAGCACAAAATTCACCAAGGCGTTCCAGTTAATGGACTAGGGGGGAAAAGATGTTCTTTAGTCTCTAGGAAACGATACCAGATTCTAGATAGAGCGATGGGTCACAGTAAAAAAAATGCAAATCATCCCTAACCACCCAAAAGATACAAAAACGACGGGTTCTTTGGCATTATAGGGGAGCTTGGGTCCATTTTTCTATTTTTTTAGTATTTTAATAGTCTTTTTAGCACAATTTAACCATATTGGAAGTGGAAAAACTACACAAACAAGACCTTAGAAATTTTTCATAAAATTTGAAGTTTTAGCATTTACGAATAGCAAAAACAGTTTAGAAACCCTTCCTTTATTTATATTAGAAAACAGATCCTAAAGACCCCCCCCCCGATAATGCGAAAGCACCACAAACGATAGGCATCTACGGACCCAGTAGAGAAAAACAGCCGGTTTTGAACGGAAGGTTTTTGAAGTTCGATAAAAATTGCGGAAAGGCCGGAATAAGGCGAAAAAACATGGAATCGAATCATCGAGTTACCAGTCACGGCCCCGAGCTTTGAACGAGTCGGCCAGCGTGTTCCCGGGTTTTGGAGTATTGAGCGGAGATGGGGTGGCCGCAGTGAATGCGGAAGAACCATTTGGATAGGGTGAGCCGGGTGTTGCAGGAGCGGGAGGTGGGCCGGCGATTCTCTGCAAGAATTGGTCAAATACCTTTTTGAGATAACTAATATTACCTGATCGCTCGGCACAAATCCTCCAGGTCCACTGAACCCGAGTGCGCTCAACAGCGTCGCCTGTAATTTCGGCAACACCGGCGGCGGCTTTGTATGCGCCGTGTTGACGTTCATAAGTGGGACTAAATAATTTGGAGCTGGAGCCGGGCAAGAAACTGGGTACCTGGTCCAGGCGGGTTTTGCAACAACGGCTGTTCCGAAGATCTCCTTTGATCTTTCGGCCGGAAATTGCTGCTTTGTGGTCTCGCCGAGCGAGCGTTTGGGCTATTGGAGAAGCGTGGTGACTGCGTCTCCGCAATTGGCGTAAACTAAAGGGATTTCACCTGTGAATTTGGCCAATTTGCACATACCCTCGACTTCGGAGAATCGTTGTTCCGCTTTTGATAGATGGGAGGGGGTGGGGTGTTGAATTGAGTGAGGGACGGGAGGTCCTTCGAGGCGCCGGGTGTTGATGTAAGGAAATCACTGGGTGGGGGCTAAATTAATGATTTTTTCGAATTTTTATGGTCTTTTACTTTCTGCAGGTTTGGAGGGAGGGAAGGTGGCGGGGCCGAGAATTGAGATGGCTGTGGAGGGGGTGGGGGTTGGTTGAGAAGTGGTGGTGGAGGAGCCGACATCAGAGGCATAGGTCCGCCCTGCAGCACGACTGGCGGAGGGGGGACATTTCGTTGTGGGGGAATAGGGTGCTGAAAAGCCATCCTGGCCGTTTAAAGTTTTACATATATAACTTTCAACGATCCGATCGAATTTAAAATCGATTCAATGGTATTTTCAAGCCAATTCGACTTACGTGCACATGCTCCGGCTTCACGGGAGTACCCATCTGCGTTGGTGGAGGCATGGAGAAGTTTGGGGGTGGACACGACATAAATGGCGGCATCTGAAACACATTTTTTAAGAATTTCTTTTTCGATGTTTTTCACAATAATTTGATCTTCATCGGTTCCTTTTGATATCCTACCTGGTGAAACCCGGGCGGCGGTCCGGTGAGATTTGGTGGAAGCACCGTTGGTGGAGGATGAGATGTTGGGACGGCTATCAGCTGGGCTGGAGGTGGCGGTGGAGGTGCCAACAAACTCGGGCCGGGCGGTATCGGTGGAGGCGGCATCTGCGTATAGGGGATCGGCGGTGGAGGGTGGTTCATCGCCTAAAATGGATATATAGTTGTCAAAAACTATTTTTCTCACGGGAGTTGGTAAATGAACCAGTGGTGGTGGGAATCGGGTGATGTTCGGTGGCGGCTTATATTCAATGGGATCCTTCGAATCATTTCGCAGCATTGGTGGCGGAGGAGGGGCCTGAAACTGACAATGGCATTCAGATATCGTAACACGTATATTACTACTCTAAAATTTCACATTTGAGATAACTTACAGCCAAAAGTGGCGATTTAGGGCCAGGGGGTGGTGGCGGAGGCGGCGAGGCACAGGACGCTGAAGAAGCCAAGTCCATCGAGACAGATTCAGTTCCGCTCGTCACTTCCTCACTAAAAAAGATACATTTGGGATGACTGAATGTGGCATACCATTTTAACCGCTTCGCAGCTGGCTGTTCCACTTCCGGTCGTTCGCCTCTGACAGCTCTTGCGAGTGTCTCCATGAATTGTTGCTAGAAAGAAATCTACGTTTTTCAGGACAAATTACCGTAGACATTCCAGTCAGCCTTTGGCGAGTTTCTTCGTCGATCGCTTGACCACCATGAACGCGCAGCTGAAAAAGAGCTCGTAAAGACCGCACTAATTGAAACGTACCACAGCATCGAGGATTTGCTGCGGGTCATTCGGATTGACTGCATTGGGTGGCAACGGTACGGGAGGAGTCGGAGTGCTGGGTGGCCGACGTTGTTGTGCCTCGCTCTTCTTCCGTTGTCGGCTCGATGTCTCGATCGGACCCGTCGGGGCGCTGATCGAAGGACTTGGGCTTCCAGGGGGCGTTTTGGGACCCCGCCGTTGAGCCGATTCAATCGGTGCCACCTTGCCATCGAGGCCCTGTCGTAAAAGTGGGCCTGGCGGTGGAGGAGCAGTAGATCCGAGCCCCGATGAGCCGCCCTGCACGGCGTCATCCATTTCGAAGCCGAACCCGGGGCGGTCTCCAGCATCCATCTTCACGTAACCCATACGTTCATGGCCATCCACGCGGCCGGTGAGCATTTTGTGGCCGAGAATGCGCTCCATCAGGCCCTCACGCTGCAGGAAGTCATAGCAAGACTTATCGTCGTACTGATGTCGGGCTAGTTTGACGGCAGTCAATTTGCCGTCATCCTCTTCCTCCTCATCATCGGTTCGTGTTGGATCTAAAATAAGGATTTTACAGAGGCATACAAAGACAAACCTCTGGACTTTTGTGTTTTCATTTGCCCAAAGATCTTGTCCAGCAACTGTTCTTGGGCTGCGGCGTCAAGGGGTTGTTGTGAAGATGATTGGGAGTGATGATGGTGACGGTGGTGATGGTGGTGCTTATCATCTCGAGTTTCTTTCCGTTCCGGGCGATCATCAGCCTCCCGTTTTACAGCTTTTGATGTGCTGGGGAGACTTGAGTGATTTCGTGAAGGTGCGGGTGGCTGTGGTCTCGGCCGGTATTTGGTTGGAGACTCGGGATCATGTCTAAAGCTACTGTGGATAAGGAGAAGCGTGGGCTGCAACCCACTTCCTGATCGGGCGCTTCGGGATTGTATCGAAGTCGCTGACCACACGTCTATTGGCATTTGGCACCATGGGGGAGCTGAAGGATGAAAATTTGGGTTGTTAGTCAGGTCTTACCGGCTAGTGGCCGGCTCGTCTTCTGTGATGGTGGCATCTTTCTTCTTCCTGGGTATCCGAAATGGCCGGGTCAACTCGTTGGAGAGGCTTAATTCCATCCTATACACCGCATTAGGCGCAAATCTAAAAAGTCTTAAAGTAATTGTCGCAGAAAAAAAACTGAAAATAGTTACTGACACCGTTCAAACGGCCAGTTATCACCAAAAATCGTTCCGAAACAAATGCTTTATCATATAAAAAAGCATGGTCAGATCCCAAAATTGAAAGATCGGTTGTAGTGGGGGAGAGAGAGGGTAGAGCAGATTCTGGTCGAGTGAGGTTTGATTCGAAATTGGGCACGTACCATGTTATAAGGCAGTCGTGAGATGACTATAATTTGGCAGTCGACGATAAAGTGACACTAAACTGGCAATTCGGTTTGGCACACATCAGAAAGGCGGAGGTTACGCGACAAAATGAAAGTTAGCCGAGATCCGCAACAAGGGCACTGAAATTTGTAGAAAAGTAAACGTAGGTAGTTATCAGGTTAAAATAGACGATATTAGGGTGTTATATTATAATTGAGCTGAATTTTTAGAGGAATCGGAGAGAGTGGATGAGGTATAAAGCTGGAATAGGGTTTCTTGTAAAACAACAAACGAATCAAAAACGAACAAGCAAGGAAAGGCACTGTACAAAGAAGTCTTGCAGAAGAATGAAAATAATTCTATTCTTAGTTTTGGGGTGTAGCCGGTTTGTCGCCCTCAGAATTGATAGAGACATCTCCGTTTTCTCCCTCGGTTCCGGCTGAAAAGAGTGTAAGTGTAGCTTCTGGCAGGATTTCGAACTTTCATAATCCCGAAGTCAGAATCCCAAATTTCCATAGCTTAGAAACAGGAAATTTCGATCTGAAGCTTCCAGATCATAAAAGTAAGATTAAAAAAAAATAGATTCCTATAAGAAATCAAGAATTATACTCACTTGTTACAACAGTCGTTTCACTCGCCACTTCCGGCACCTCACTGAATTCGACCACGGTCATAGGCGGGCAGCCGGCTGAAGCTCCATTTGTCCCATCGTGTCCATTCGAGGTGACTGTGGTGGAGGTTGATGACGGCGCTGTCGTGGTGATTGTTGTGCTGGTAGTGGCCACTTCAGCAACAGGGTCACGAGCCGCAGCTGCTGCTGCGGCTGCTTGCTGAGCCTGAGTCGAGCCCTTGCTGCCTCGTTTTTCCGTATTTCCGCGGGCCCTACGTTCTTTTTCTTTGGCCGCGCTGTCGACCTAAAAATAGAGTTTATATGGTGTTCCAAATTTTCGACAACCTTGAGCGCTTTTTGGACAATTTCCTGGATCTGGCGCTCCATTTCCTCGCTGGTCTCTTCCGACTTGGCTCCGGCTGCAGCACGTTTTGATGTAACGCGAGAACGATGACGAGGCCGGCGGGCAGCCGGTTGAGCTCCAGGCGATTGAGCAGGAGGTTCTTGTTGTGATTGTTGTTCTGACGTCTCTTCCGTGCGAGGCTAAACCGATCGTATAAAGAACCGAAGGCTAGTTGACTGGAACGCCCTGATGAAGTAAACTAATATAGACTTACCACTAATAGTTGACAGCCCGATTCGATGCAGGCTATTTGGATCAATTCCAGGTAAGGATCAACATGAGTCGGATCAGCGAAAAACGTCTGGTCTACGTCTACAAAAAAGGTTTTCTAGTTTCCGCCAGATCGCTTACTATACATCCGGTCGATCAGGCGATCACCATACGGCAAATACGTCCTCAATTTGCTTTCCATCGCGGCCACTTCGGATTCCAATGTTGAGCAGCGCTGCGTGACGTCCTTGTGGTAGCAAACTATTTGCTTGGATCTGTAAGCATCCGTTTTTATTAGATTCCTATATTTTATCTTCGTTCTAGATGAAACGGCCTGGATCAAAGATTACCGATTGAGCAGTTCGCCGGGGGTTTCCACCTCTGCCATTCCCAATTCCTGGAGCCGCACCTTCAGCAAGCCGACCCCCTAAAGCAGGCAATTCGAAAGGCTCTAAAATCAAATAAATACCATATCTTGCTTCAGATGGTCGATGTTTTGGGTGCAGACGCGCAGGCGCTCCTTTAGCTCAATTTGTTTCAGTTCTTCAGCCTGAAATAAAGCAAAATTAAACCAGCCATTCAGCTGAAACATGTTTGCCCATCATACCTACCCGAATTTCCTGGCGCACCGCGCTAAAAAAAGCATCGGAGATAATGAATGGGCACATCTCGCTGAACTGCTCCCGGATTTTAACTAAAAAATCATCAAAGAATACAATTATCGACCCACTCAGATATTTGTCGAGCTCATTTGCCGGATTGAGCACCACACAGCCGGGTGGGATGTGGAGTGAGTCGGCCGAGATGGGAAGGCGAGCTAAAAAGTTGTACGCTTATCGTGCTGTGAATTGATTGATTACCAATGCCAGCCTGCTGTTGTCGAAGAATTTCCTCGTGCATCTGCTCAACGCCAGAAATTGCGTCTTCAGATAAACGACCGCGCAGCTGAATTCAGAATTTTTAGTAACTGGCGGTTCGATTATACCTTGCTAGCCGACGTAGTGGTAGATGGTGTCGATCCTTTTTTAGGCCTACCCCGAGGTCGGCCGTCTTTGGCGGCTGCGCGCTTTTTCTGAAAAAGCTTTTATAGTAAATTTGAGTAACTTGAAAGTTTAGACTTCAAAATATTAAATCTGCCCACCGAAGTCGGTGTATAATCGCCGTCTTGGTCCCAGTTGACCTCTTGGTAGCTCGCGGTGCTTGCCTTCGCTCTTTTCCGAGATTGCGAAGTGGTCAGCACAAATTTTCTGAAAATGAATGCTTAGATTGAAAAAAGGTAGGTTATCCGGCCCGATCAACAATAGTTTTTCACTTTTATAAAAGTTACCTATCATCCTCATCAATCTCGGTTTTAATACCAGAGGCGTTGGACAGCGGTGAGGCGAATCCAGGAATTGAGTCCGGAAACTTGGAGATCGACGATTCGCGGGACTCAGAACTCCTAAAACTGTATTTTACGAGATGTACGACAATCCACTTGTCCAAAAACTAAAACGGCAGACCATTGACCGCAAAGGAATATGACGACAAAGCTTTATTATGCGATATTAAATCCAACAATCAAGAAAGACGACGTAATGGAGACCGGTATTGGAGGAGTACCCGTAATATATATGGCATACAACAAAGATATCTTAACTGAGTGGGGGAGAGATTCGCAATGAGATAAATAGTCTAATAATCAACAAATATTATACAAAGAGCATGCGAGGGGGTAGTGTTAATCCACGGGATCGATATCCATTGAGAACGGATTTCTTAGCAGGGGCAGTTGTAAGAGGGATGCTTCAAAAGCGAGCTTGACTTTCTCCAACATTTCTGACGTTATTGGCGCTATTAGGCTGCATTCTGCTATCCGCGCTTCCTTTTCTGGGCCTTGCCATTCTTGCTCTGTGACTGGTAAAAAGGGTGCAATATCATCTAGAGAGTCAAAAACCTCGTTGAGACGCTTCTTGGCCTTAGTCTTGGTCACGGGCGCTTTCTTGTTATCCGGCTCGGCAGAGGTGGGTTTCTTCCTAACAAAGCAACTACAGCTAGCTTCAAAGCAACAACACGAAAAGCACAACACGCCAACAAGCAAAAATTACGTTAGTTTGCCGCAAAAAGGACAAACGGGTCAATTTTTTAAGCGTACTGACAAAAATATACCTCTGGCTAGTTTTGCTGCTGTTGCTGCGGCGCTCGTCCAAGGAAGGGGTGCTCGAGTTCTTCTTGTTTTTATACTCGAAGTAGCGTTCAATCTGAAAGTGAGAGTGAGGATTAAAAAAACTGAATAATTCAGTACCTTTGCAGGATTGACGACATGAAGATAATACGGAACATGTCCGCCAGTCCAGGAGGCTGGAGCGTTGACGGTTCGCAGGCTTGTAACGTCCAGCATCATTGAAAGATCTAAAATTTAAAGATTTTGACAGAGAAACATTTATTAAAAATCCAAAATAGGCTTTTTACTTACCATTGAGATCACGTTCGCGCAGCTCGGGAACCGCTTTGCTCTTTGCGTAGGCCTTCGTCGAAATGATCTTGGTCCCAGGAGCACAATTCTTGATGATCGCGTCTTTGATCTTCTTGTCAAGGTCCGCGGTAAAGGCAAAGTTGTTTATGAAGATGATGGTAGCTTCCTAAATTCCAATGAAATCTTTAAAACCACACAAACCTCAGTGATGAGCTGGAGGTGGTCTTGAGAGAGGAAATCGCCTTGAATCAGCTTGAAATCTCGGACACGCTTCCCATGCCATTTCATGAGACTGGAAATAAAAAGAATTAAGCCAGAAAATCAGCAAATGCCTGCGGAAGGTGGACTCCATCGTCGCTGCGCATGTACTCGGAAATTTCGAGATTTCAATGCCAATGGCCTTTTTGACTTTGGTCCTTCCGGCAACGTAGCAAACAAGGTGTCCAACGCCAGAGCCTGTAAAAAGGTTGCGAATTCTGACATTTGCTTACCTAGATCAACAAATACGTCGTTTTCGGTGGCTTTTATATCCTCCAGCATCAACTCCAACTGATCGTAGCTGGTTTCGCCGTAGACCTAAAAAGAATATCGGGACTTTCCAAGATCAAACCTCGGAAGAGAAAGCCTCGTAGTGTTTGTTGAGGCGATTCACATCAGGCACCGCTCTTAAAGAAATATTTATTATTAAAAATCCTATATAAAGGATACTAACCGGTTAAACGCAGTCGAGCATATGAAATTGAGGAGCTGCGGAGAACAAGGCTCAACCGACCACTCTTCCACACCAGGACGCGTCTGCCCGCTCCACTAAAAAAATCTTATTTGTAAAGCCAGCGGTTAATTGTAGCAGATCGAGCAACTTTACCGCTAGACAAAATGAAATAAAACCCACCAGTTGAAAAGAAGTCGAGGCCAGCTTGTTGTACTTCGACACGAGCTTGGAAATCTTGTCGTAACCAATGTTCGCGTAGTTATTCAAGTCAATCTCGATCGACTGGGCGAAAGTTTGGAGAGGCGCCTTGATCTCCGGGAAACGGGACATCACCTGCCTAAAATGACGAAGCGTTATTTTCGGTAGCTTTCATTTTACTTGAGATTCTCGATAACTTCTACAGCTGCCTCCTGGTTATCGCCATTGTCTCTCCAAGTCACCAAGAATGGCTTGTTGTCGCCGACCGGATGACCTGACGATTGTTTTCGTTAGTAATAATTAGATGACTCACCATAAATCCCATGCAGTTTGATAGTTTTTACCGGATTACTATCACTGGAATCGGCCGAACTGATAGATGAAGTTTCCAACTAAACCGAATATCGAAAGAATCGCTAATCTTACCCTATCGCCCGATGATTTGCGATGCACACTGGGCGATTTAGAGGTCCGGTCTTTGAACTAAAAAGATATTTAAAGAGAAAGCTTTCGGAATAATACCCTTTCTGCAGAAGATTTACTGTGCAGACTCGGTGACTTGGAGCTGCGCTCCTTGAACTGGTCCATGCCAGCCAAGAATGGTGAAGGATCACTGAAAATGGCGAATTAGAAAATATTATATGCTTGTCACACAGAAATATTGGAAACGGAAGTCACGGAAAAAGTGTAGTTGGAAACTCGGCCTCGGCTGGACCTAGTTCGGGCCGAACAATTGGCAAGTTTTCTACGCTGCGGAGGAATAGTTCGGCGAAAGGGGAGAGCGCAGAGAAGGCAGATGCTATGTGTCTACATCACAGGAACGCGCGTCGGTGCTCTCCCAATATCATGCTGTGTCTCTCGCACCCAATAGCACTCAGCTATCTCCGCTCGAGTCGGGATAAGATTCAAAAAGCAAACAATTGTGAGAGGTATTAACGCAAAATCTAAAATGGATGAGTCCAAATTACTTGCATTTTTCATAAAAACCCAATTGCATGTAATGTAAACCGGCAGCCACGTATTGGATGGGCAACTATTCTGTGTCTAAAGATTTATCGACCAGTCATATTTTGATATAGTTACAATACACACAAACGTCCTTCATTCCTTTGATTTCTTCGGTATCGCGTGCAATCGCCGGATCCATGGTCGATCTTTCTGAATTTTTTTCAGCAATAAAGTGGAGATGGAGAAATTTACCGGGCCTAATTCAGTCAGCTCATCCTCTGGGACCTTTCCCATCACACGAGCGGCGTTTGAAAGTGTCCGATAGTCGACCCCATAGTCAGCCTTTTTGAATAAGAGTTCCATCTCCTAAAGCAAATAGTAAGCAGCTTCGATGTTCTCTACCTGTAGCATCAAATCTGTACGGTCTGCGTTGAATACGATTTCTGGCACATTCCCACCGCCCAAAGATTCGGCTAGCTGACGACGGAGCTCGCGGCGGTTTTCTTCCAACAATTTGGAAATTTCCTAAAAAGCCTTGCTATTTTTGGGGATGAAAACCTCGTCCCCGGTTCCTTTGCACAGCCAGCTGATGGAAATCGTCGAAAAGGATTTGTCAAGTTTTAGCTAAAGAATTGTATCAAATATTTGAACACAAAAAACCTTCGTAAAGGTGATATCTTTTCCGGCAAGCGCCTCGTGACATTGAATGATTTCATAAATCCTAAATCTTCTAGTTCAGTGCATGGGAAATAATATCACCTCCTCTGGAATATCTCGCTCAGTCGCTTCATCTTTTTGTCATCGAGTCTTCTCTGCTTGGTGCCAAGGGAGAGTAGAAACATCCGGTCTTCTAATCTAGAAGGCAAGTTAAAAAAACTCCATTTGTTCCTACCCGACATCCAACCCAAATCGTTTTCCATATTGCATGGTGAAGACGCGGTCCATAGAAGCATTGTATCTCCATGCTTTCCCGGGCGTCGGACCATAGCCGTTTTGCCCTAGAAAATAATAGAAAAATAGCAGAATCAAACCTGTTGTCCGGCGACTTCTGAAATCGAGGGCTTTCTGTCGCAACTGGCAGCATAGGGGTGTGAAAGATGATGAAGACGGGCCCAGCCGACGTAGCAACATCTAGAATAACAATTTACAACTGATATAAATTTATTAAAAAGTAAAAAAATGATAAAAATATTCACAAGGGAACGTTTTGGGGTGCCAGAGGGCCTTGGTTGCTTTCCATAAAGCGCCTCTGGAACCGTAACATTGGCGTTGTTAGTACTTTGTCGTACTTGCCGCCCGCGACGGAAAAGTTCTAACTAAAATTCTTTCAAGCTTTTGGTTTCTTATTTTTCTTATTATGCATAATACTCCTCATAATTATGAGGTGTTTCGTGGTCGTTTAATTAGTTTTTTTTTTCAGCGGCAATGAGGGTACCAACTCGGCAGCTCTTGGGTGCTGCGAATCAGAACGTCACGGCGCCGAAGCTGTGGCAGGATCCGGTCCTTGGATACTTCGAGGTATCTTGATTTCTTTTTCTTTCTATTGCTCCCTTGTATATCATTCACACCCCTTTTAGACTCACGGAAAGATGGAGTTCAAGGCCGGCGAGCAGTACAACCTGACCCAGGACGACAAGAAAGCCGTCTTGTGGAGGTTCGTTTATTCTAACCGAATTTGCGAAATTCATAGGTCTTGATTTATCTCGCCAAGCAGAAGAATCTGCTTTATCATAGGTACATTTTACTTTCAGGTATCGCGTCAAGGAGATCTTGAAGAAGGAGTATTTGCGACGAGAATACGATCCCCACAGCTTCAAGTACAAGGTATACCTTCAAAACACTATTTAAGACATTATTGTTAGGCCGGCGTTGTCATGGACCCTGCCATGTTCCGTTGGTACTCGGCTGACATGACCCAAGCCGAATTTTTCCGCGCAACCCCTCGATCCGTGTTCCTCTACATGGGAAGCGTCTTCCTCGCCTTCTACCTCTACACTAGGCTGCTCTATGTTCCGATTGTAAGTTATAATGGCTTATTTTAATGCTTATGTAGCCGAAATATGTCTATCCGCAATTTATCAAATTTTTTTCAGGACAAGAATAACGAGGCGTGCCTCGACGGAGACCTCTTGTGGTGGGACCGGCAACAGGGCCGAATGCAGTTCACTGCCGGAAGTGGCATCCTCTCCCCGACCATTGGAATCGAATTTTAACTGGCTCGCAGTTTCATTAGATAGTTGTCGTTTTATACTACACCTCGTTTGTCTTTTGTATAATCGCCTTATCATCGTGGACTTGTAAAAAGATGTGCTTATTGGATGTTCGCCGAATAAATAGATTACGATTTTTCGGTTGTTGAGTCCTTTTGTACTAATTTCATTTGTTATTTGGGCAAGTCCTGAACGCAGTCAACCCTTTGTATAGTCGATGAGCGAAGACGTCGTCAAGGAGGTGGTACGCGAAGTCAAAAAGTTACTTATCGAGAAGAAAGATGAAGCCGCTATGGAGCTATGCGAGGTTTCTAGGACTTCGTCTACAAAAATTCGTTGCAGCAACATATCGAAGATGGCGTCAAAGATTACATGATCTACTGCTTCGCGGCCCTCGCAAATGCAAATCAAAACTACCCTGTCGATTCATCCACACATTATATAGAGGTAAAAATAACTACTTTTCACTAATTTCTCATAGGCAATAAAAATAGACGCGTCAAAGCCGATTGCCTGGCAGGGTCTTTTCAAGTTGTATGACAAACAGGGACTTCCGGTGGATGAACGAGCTATTGAGACTGCTGAAAAGGCGGCAACCTTTGCGTGAGTTCCTTAGGTTTTAACCAAAATTCTGCTATTGTAGTGCAGATGACGAGAAAAAGGAATACTGTCTGCAGAAGAAACGAGAGTTCCTTTTGACGCTGAAACGCTTTGTAGACTTGAAGGTATTGCAAAAGTTGTTTATAACTTTCCTTAGGAAGATCCGGGCGAAGATCCTGTTTTCATGGGGAAGCTGATCGAAGTGCTTACAGAAAGAGAAAATAAAAGTGAAAGCGAAAAATCATTGGTACGGATTGAGGTTCACAAAAAAAACCCATTCTGGCCTAGCTCCTGCAAGCTTTCAAAACCATTGGCTTCGAACTGGTATGGAAGGATGTGGATTTGCATCGCCGCTACGTGAAATATCAATACGAGGTAACAAACGCTAAATTTGTATTTTTTTACTGTCTTTAGATTTCTAAAACTTATTGCGACTGGGAGCAGGAATTTATGCGTTTTTGTGAATTCCATCCGAAACAGAAGCTGGACACTTGGATGTGTAAGTCGAATTGCTCCGTGCGCTTTTATTGACTTATATGCAGATGAGAGGCTGGATTATTTGATCCATATCGGCGTTCTGGTTCAAGGGGTGGTCAACGAAAATCTTTTGGACGTCTACAACCGCACTCACACTGATGAGGAGGATGACTTCGTGAGTTTTAGTCATCTTTTGACCTTTTGACGTTTCTACAGCCCCTCAATCTTCTCGACGCTCTGAACGATGAAGACTGGGATGATGCAGCTGGGATAGTGCTGGAAATCCCTGAACTGAGCCTTGTAGAAAACGGCTTGGAGCCTGCAATTTATACGGCCGTTCGCGTGATGTACGAGGATGAAAATTACGAAAAGTTTGTTGTTTTCCTCGAAATGTAACATTGTTAGATGCCTATCTTATATCGCCCTGGCACAACAACGCACAAGCGACCCATTATTACGTGAACAGCTACATGGATACCGCGCCGCGTCGCTATTGGGCCTGATGACTCCAGAGTCGCTGAGAATTGGCCTTGGAATGTGTCCGTTGACGCCGAAGTAAATCCAATCACTTGGCATTAATCCTGTTTAGATTCGAGTATTCTGAAATCCTCCTGAACTTCCATAGTGGCCGTGAAGTGGTTGTCTCCGATATCAAGTCGGAAGCCAATCGATTGAGGTTTTCATTGTTTCAAGCTCTAAGAAATGGACAAGCCGCTGAGGCGAAGAGAATTGCGCTGGAAAGCGAGAAATTCGTATGTTTCCACCTTTTTTAATGAACTTTTTGCTCAGGATGGAACGCAGACCTGGCAAGACAACCTGATGCGTGCGGAAGCCAATTTGGCCGACGAGGCGACGCTGAAGCAACTTGTCGATCTCGGCCAAGACCATCCGCGTTGCGCGAAGGTTTTCTACTTGTTGGCTAAGGCGCTCCGACGCAAAAATGTGACAAAGGTAAGTTTTCGTACTCCTGACGTTAAATTCCATTTAGGCTAAATCGTGTGCGGAAAGGGCCGTAAGTCTGAAGGAAGGATGCGAAGAATGCATTTTGCTTTTGGACGATATCCTCATGGAGACTGGTTAGTGACGGGCGAGTTTGATTGAATGACTTTTAGGCACCTCTCCATCCGTTCGCCTGGCTCAGCTCGAAAAGATGACGAAGCGCACACACTGGCTTCAGGAGCGCCTCTATCCGCTTTATCTCGGCGCCGGGCTAATGTAAGTCTCCATAAAAAATTATCACGGTTGTATAGAGACAAGGCGATCAACTCTCTACAACATCTCCTCCGCGACAACCCCGAAGATGCACACCGCTGGGGCGAATTGGGGGCTGCCTACCTGCAACGAGGCAGTCTACAAGCCGCCGTCAATGCTTATCTCGAGGCAGCCAGGCTTCAGCCGGACAGTGATTATATCCTTCCGGTCAGTTGATTAATACTATCGAGGATTCATGGTTTTTAGATGCTTCACGTTCTATTTCGTCTGGGAAATGTGGACGAGTTGCTGGAGCACGCGGATAAATGGCGAGCCACTCGCAACGCTGACATCGACGGCGATAAAGATGCCCATTTCTTCGTCTCGCTTTGGGAGATCCAGGCAAAGTTCACGAAATGCGAGGAACTGACAGGCTCGGAAATGATTGGTAATTTCAGTTGCTAAAATAGTGATGTTTTATTTAGAAGCCCTACAGGAAATCTATGACAAGCTGGGCTCGCTATTGGACAAACGGCTTCCTTATACCATTCTGTATAAAACCGCGGCTGACATACTCATCTTTTGCGCCTCTTTCCATACGGACGTCTTCAGCCAATTAAATGTAAAAGTTTTTGGTTTCCTGGAAACAAGTGATTCAGTTTCCGGCTATTCTCACCATCAAGGAGCCGGCTGACTGCTGGAAAAGGAGCGATTTCGCTGTTGGGCGCTGTGCTTTCTGCCAAGAACGATTCCGCATCTGCGTGGGCGGACATCGGGATAGCCTTGACATTGGGTAGCCGAGCTTTGGCTTCAATACCTTATGCTAAAAAGTAAGCTTTTGATAGCTTTATTTGACGATCGTGCTTAGGGCCGTGAGCTGCCTGAAACAAGCAATTCGTCTGAGCGATGACGCCGGAATGCGCTCGATTTATTGGGGCAAATTGGGAGATGCTCTATCGGCTAAAGAAGCCCCCTTCCCGCAACAGCAGCATGCCTACCTGCGGTGGGAATCATGATTTTATGGGATCATTCCGTTCAGGGCAATTGAATTGAATCGTGCCAACTCGGAGGCCTGGTGTCGTCTCGCCTTGTTGTACGCAAAATTTGTAAGTCGACCCCCCCCCCTTATGTCAATATGTATTCCTAGAACCTGCATAGTGAATCAAAACAGGCATGCGAAACCGGCCTGAAGATCAACCCGGAATGTGGATTTATTTGGACAGTTTACGTTGGTTTTTTTTCATGCTAGTACCAGCGCCCAAAACCCGCTTCGCGGGCCTTGGGCGCTGGAATGCGGCCTTTGCATGAAAAATTTGACTTCTCGAGAGCTCGGGTCCTTCGGACCCCTTCCCCCCACTGACCAAACACGCGAGTGCAACTGGCAAGAATGAGGAAATTTGTATTTTTCCGCATTATGCAAATTAGCTCTCAGGGACTCCCAAAAATGAATAAAACCGGCTTTAACTTTGTAAACTTGTATTTTATCGAAATTCTGACGACGCCATCGGAAACAGAAGTGTCGATTCCCCCGGGTGACGGAGAATTAGGGCATTTTATGCAAGGGAAGGCCCTCAAATCGGGCCTCGAAAGTGACATCCACACACACACACACACATACGCACCAAAATTATATAAGGTAGGATAAAAATCGGATTTAGGGACTGTTAGCGGTGTATGATGCGAAGACTGTGGCCCATGAGCCGGCACTACTGGCTGATTTGGAGGCCGTCGCCATCGACTCGTTTTGCCAGGCCTTGACCTATCGTCCGACGGTATTTGTTGTGTTTTTCTCTGATAAGATTTTTTAGGAAGTTGCTGTCGAAGAGCTCTCCTCTTTCCTCGCTCACTCGGCCCGTCATTTCGATGCGGCTGGCTCTCGAATCAAGTTTGAGAAGGTGTTGGCGCTGCTTGGTAACCTTTTCTATCTTTCTAAAATCCGTTTAGATCGGGGTGATCGCGCGCCACATTTCGTACTGCGGCTGACACTGTTGGCGGAGTGTTTTGGCTACTTCGATGAGG